GATTTGCCGTAAGCGACACCTAAAAATTCCCAATGATGAAGGAGAAATCAAGACTTTAGTGTAAGAAAAGAAAAAAAAAAAAGAAAAAAAAAAAAAAAAAGGGGAGAGAGAAAACGTAGCAGTAGAGAGATAATGTGGTCTGTAAACTGACCTTTGGGCATTTTAATGACTAAAAATGCATGCTGATCCCACGGCCTAATTATAATAACATTTAACATTATTTCTTATATATATATATATATATATATATATATATATATATATATCATAAACATTATAATCTACCCTCCTTAAAAGATTTCGTCCTCGAAATCTACCCTCCTTAAAGAAGGAGGCCCACAACCATACACCTTCCCAAGAACACCTCACAAAACCCTAAAACCGTGAACTCACCAACATCACCGAACGTCACTAGTCATCACACACCACTGCCGCAAAAACACAATGCTCACCACCCTATGAGGGTACTCATTACTCAAGACATCATAACACAAACTAGCTGGATTTTATACTCAACTCAAAACGGGCATCGACCCACTCTACATTGCTACGCAAGGCTCCAAAGTCCAAGGGGAACGATCACAAGACCACCGAACATGACGACATCCTGTCTCAACTCCTCCCTAAAAGACACACAAAACCCCAGACAAGGAACCCCGTCCATCTCACAATCAAGCTCAACTCTAATCTACACATCCCTGTTAGACCAAACATTCACTACCTAACACTTAACTACATTATTACAAACCTATACAACGACTACCAACCACACCAAACGGCAATCACTAAACTTATCATCCTTAAGATGACTAAATAATGAATCTCCCAACGACTACATAATCATGAATCACCAGAACAATAAAACGTACTATCCTGTACCTAGAACCCAAATCCTCAAAACAAGATCTTCAATAATCAATGATCGAACTACAAACCCTATACCAGATACTTGGTACTACCTAACACGCTTCGTCACCCAAAATAAATCATCTGAATCCACACTGTCACACCGACACAACGCGCAATACCGTGCTCTCACTATCTTTGACAAATTGAAACAATCATTGACCTTTGACCTGACATAATGCTAAGAGAGACTAATTTAGGAGAAATGGTTGGCCAGGCCATTCTCGTCATCAATCCGGTCTCAACACAGACATCATTCCTGTCCTCAGGTCCAAACCTCAAACACACTCTCACACAGTCCATAAGGTAACCATGAGATCCACTCACTGTCAATCCATCGCTCTATGTAACCTCAACAACTATACAATTATATACCTGCTCTAAAAATCCCAATCATAATTCAATAAAACAACTATAAAAAGCTAAAAGCAATATGGCACCAAATACTACAATCATCAACTAGCATAAAAGATCTTTAATTCCCCTCTTAACACCTATACCAGGTAAACAACTCTATAGCATTACTTGATTCAATTCTTACCTGTCAAAACACACAATGCAACTATTTCATGCTCGAGATCACAAAACCAAAGTCAATCTTTCCCATTATTTCTCAACGGAATTCCAAATTCACTTTCTTTAATCACGTAGTTCTAATGCGACATCGACACTTGTTCTCAAGACACTGCTCGAATCAAACGCCTATAAAAACACCGAGTACATGACTCACATTACATCACCTAACCATCCTTAAGCTTACAATTCACGACGTACCCCTAGCCATCACCGAAAGTACCAAACACCGGAAACACAATCCCTATTCGGCAACTCGTGCCGTCAAAACCACCCTCAAAACAAGCACTACTAAAAACTGATGACTTTATCTCCCTTCGTGGGAGTGAGTTGACCAAATCAACCAAACTTTTACCGATGAACTCAATAACATAACAAATCATATACAGGTCTGTCCACCCACGGACACGTACAACTCCTAATGGAAAATAAGGCTCACGACAAACGACGTCCTTGCCAGGACTAGAACAAATGGAAAGGGTAACAAACCTCGCTCTCACAAGAGACTGACGACTCGCACCTGAATGCACCAGACACTTTGTCATATGCTACATACCAACTGTCCAACCATGGATACCCAATCTCACCTGGGATGAACTAAACTCCTTACACACAAAGAGAAGAACCAAATGGATACCCGTACGGAACTACAAACTCAATTCTAGGCGACCCCACCACTAACGGTCCATCATACACTATCAACACAGAAACTTCGCATACGATACCCTGCAACACCCATGCTAACCAAAACCAATCAGATCCCTACCACTCATTTGTCGAGTACTAAGATACAACTCACAACACAACCATCAAACAAGAGCATCAATACTCACAACATACCAACACTAGAAACGATCACAACCCATCGGACACCGTATCCCGTCACTCCCAATGACAATCCATATGCCATAAAATGACACTTTACCACCCGTTCCATCTTTCAAGACGATACTGCCTTGATCACCATGCACACCCGACTCGTAACCTCAGTCACAACAATCCATTGACTCGTCAAAAGAAAAATACGCCTATCTAGCAACATCGTCCTCACTGGCTCTAAAGACTAAGCCGACCACAATCGCCTCAACTAGCATACAATCCCATCACCTACCCGATAACATACAACAACACCTCATATTCCCAATCCACCCTCTGATCATATCCCAAACCATTCTGCTCATCAATACTAAACATCACGCCATAACGACTCTACTACCATCATCCTCGAATGATGACTCAAACCTCTCATCTCACTAGATCACCAAGTCACTACCAAGCAATTCTTCCTGTGACACCATCATAACAAAATAATAAGCATTACTCTCGATAACTCCCGCAACAACCACTACTTGCCACTAGAAAAGAATTTCTATACAGCAATATCGTTCCGACAAATCCTAAAGGAAAAATGAGCGCAGAAACTAGAATGGTCAACATCCAAATGTCTCCTCAAACCATCTACAACACAATCAGTCATAACACTTAATCGACTATTCTGATCATTCTTCCTAAGACAATCTACGTGCCTAAGTAAGATAACCTCACACCATTGGTTCAACATCATTCTTCTCCTTTTCACCATTCCCCATAACACTCTTGATCTCGTCCCAATCATTCCAATCATCAGTCTATCTCTTCGGATCCTCAAACAATTAGCACTACTTCTTCATACCCCAAATGAAACATAAAATTTAACTTTAATCCACAACTTTCAATTTCAAAACACAATCCATTTAGTAACACAGTACCTACCATCTATCACTTCATCCGCAACCATTAAACATACCGATGACTACATAATACCTGCCTTATCGTCCAATCCTACACTACACAGCTAAAATTTTCCACTATACACCACCTCGAGACTCTCTTGACAACTATAACAACCTATAACCCCACTCATCTACCAAGCTATTCAATCAACTCACTGAGAGTTAATTACCCACAACACGCTCCTGTAGCTTCCCGAAGTGGGAATCACACTCGACTAACAAGTGTCTAAGACATATTCTTACATGACTACGAAATGATCCACATCCCGCAACCGGTCCTACGTCACCTTAGACTTACAGAGTCCAACAAGTCCCCTTAATAATCAAAACCAACACGCTTCCTTAAACCGTACCAGAATACCCAAAATACACGTCTACAACCCATAGACTACACTCATGACTCAAGCAACCTCTATCACACCCACCACAAACCAGTTCGAAGAGAACCTTACTACTAAATTGTGACCTAAGTCACAAACACTAACCCCCTAAGGTCATACCTTTCTCCTACAAAACCCTTACTCGTACACTTGACCTCCACGGTCAGAAGAACCCACACACCGATGCATGAAACTCATACATAACATAGACACTATGCCATAAAATATGAACCCATTCTAAAGTTGCGCTCTAAGCACCACACAAAATGCAACAAAAAGATCAAAATGACTACACACTGAATATCTTAATCCATGTGCTAAAAGTCCAAGCCATTCGTTCGATAAGAACCGGCACCCCAAATAACCCTGGAGCAATCGAGCTACTCACATACTCAGGTCAAAACCCACACAACCATCCATTCTCAACCGCATACTCCTATACATGTGTATGTAATAATAATAATAATAATAATAATAATAATAACTGTATCCCATACCATGATACAATCATGTTCCATCATTTAAATTTATTTATTTATTTATTTTTTAAACACCTCGTCTTTCATTTAAAAAAAAAAATACTTGCATAACCATGCCTAATAACCATCATAATACCAAACAAGACATGCTTGCACATATCAGGCTCAATACTTGTCACATTAGCATAAAAGAAAATTGCACCAACCGTGCCTACTGCTTGCCACCGTCATATATCGCATACTTTCCACTTTATCATCTATAACATGTTTCAAAAAACTTTCACATTTCATTTACATATAACGGTAATTTAAACACGTAAGCACTTAGTAAATAGGCATGCCTTTTAAAACCGTAAACACATAAACAATTAGGCAAGTAAGCATGTTTCTCAGATAACAAATATTTAACACATAAGCACATAAACAATGCAATCCACCTACCACACAACCCTTGATAGGCCTCTACTCGTCGTCCTACTGGTTTTCAAACCATGGTTTTGATACCAATTTTGTAACGACCTGAACCCGAGGGTCCGAATCGCTAACTGGGTCCTTACCCTAACCCGAGGTCAACTAAAAACATTACCGTCCTTTCCTATATCAATACATAATATACGTGTCATCCCAGAATTTATAAATAATAATAATAATAATAATAACAATAATAATAATAAAATGAGATCATAGCAACAAAATGTGTCAAACAGTCCACTAACTCATTAAAATATGTGGAGAAACGTCGTCCGCCACTGTGATACCCCTCAATTCTAGAGCCACGAGTGATCAAGTCCAGGCATAGATCCGAGGGATACCAGACAATTAATATGTAAACAAGCAGAATACAAAAGAATTAAAATAAAATAAAATAATAAGCTGAAAAGAATTCTAAATGTAAAAATCCTCCAAAATAAAAGTTTAATATAATTTAAATCTTCCAATCCTTATAACTCGGGAATCTATCCAGTGGACTCCTAATAATCCCAAATGAAAAATAAATTTACAGAATCAAAATCCAAAACTAAAAATAAGAAAGAAAATCATATGTAGTCGGAAGAATGAGTGACTGTATCTGCATCATCACGATCAAGCTCTAAGCCTGGTACTGACAAACACCTGAAAAATAAGAGTGGGTCAGCCCCGCATGCAAGTTCTATCCTACTACAATCCATACATAAACTCGATACGCAGATACATCCTAGATAGCTCGGTAATAACTAAAATAGTCCATATAGATATAGATACACACTCTAGGATGCTCACTAACCTATAATCATCACATCTGAGTAGAAGGTAACACGCAAAACTTACGTACTATAGTCATACACACCTAGACCTACCAGGGAACGTCATTAGGTCCAATTATCCATCCAAGGCGATATACGCATCATAACCGTGATCAGGAGACTCAAGCTCATATTACGGTACCATAATATATATAAACTCCCATCCAAAACCAATGTAGTGCCGCTCAACTGTTCGTCGCCAAGACACTACATAAAACTAGGATTTAAATATTTTAATTAAATCCATTTCCTTCCTAATATAGAAAAAAAAAAATAAAGCAACCATCCATTGTGTCGTTCAACTGTTTTAGTTGACAAGACTTGCATCCATGTAGGATTTAACTATTTTAGTTAATCCATTCCATATGTATGAATAGGTAAAGATTAATGTTTTGATCTAATTCCTTCCTCATATGCCACCGTCCCATACCGGTGCATATAATGCATATGATCCGTAAATGATGCAACACTCATTTGAACATCTAATGCATCCAGAAATAATCATAATAGAAATCAGATATATGCAAGATCCTATTATGCATCCAGCATATGTTTATGACCATATATCCTCCGTTTAAATTGCTAGAGTAATGATAAACAATTTAAATTATCCATATCCACATAATTGACAGAACATAAATTATAATAGTTCATCAATTTAAAACCCATAGCGTGTTATAATGATAATCAGAAGTATTAACTGGCACACTATATCAAAATCCCAAAAATCCTTTCATTTTCTAGAATATGCATCAATATAGATTAATACATACATAACAATATTAGGCATTCATTATAGAACCTAAAAATCCTGTTCCAATTATTTAAATTGTTAAAATAAATCTAAGCATTCAAATCCTCCAAACCGTCCACCAATTGATACAGTTACTAGCAAATTAAATGCCAATTTAATCCAGACCAAGCATAGTTAATTTCAAGTAATTCACTATACTTATAACTCTATTTAAATATGATTAAACAGTATAAAATTTTATACACAAGAATCTCTAAGTTCCAGTATGTAAGTTTATTAACAACCAAAGTGCAATATGTAGGATTTTTCCCTAAATTCACACTGTTCATTCCTTAATCCATTTATGAATTATTGTTTCCCTATAATATTACAGGTCTATAACAATTAATTACACCATTTAATATAATTTAAACGGAGTGGAAATACCCTGTATAGTCCAAACAGCGCCTAAAAACCAACCATACGCAATTCTGGGTGAGAGAAGGCTCTCTCAAATTGAGAGCCTGCTCCTTTGGCATGAGAGCCTGCTCCTCAACATTGGGAGCCTACTCTTAGTAGCTAGGAGCTGGCTCCATACTCCTTGGAGCCTGCTCTATTGATGAGGGAGCTGGCTCCCTACTTTTGGGAGCCTGCTGTCTCACTCCCTAAAATCGTTCTGCGTCTATGCTTCATCTTCGGTGATTCCCATGGCCTCTGTAATTCTTTTAATACTTGTTCTAGTGTTCATTCAACTTCCCAGATTAATTACAAGACATCAATATACATCCATGATCTCAATTAAACAAAGTTTAAACGCAAAGACAACAAGAACCAGTTAACAAAACTTTTAGAATTTGCAAACCAGATTAATTCAACGGGATTAAATAAAGATTAAACATGCATAAAAGATCTGTTTTAGCATTAATCAAACCCTTGGAGACTAACTAGAATGCACAGAACACAAGTTTACAGGAAGGAGATAGAATAAAACTTGCCTTTAGGTTTCGGTTTGAAACCTTTCAACGTCGTCTCTAAATTTCGGCAACCCCAAGACTGTTCTCCTCCTCTGATCACTGTTTCATTCCTCTGTTGCTTCTTGGTTCCATCCAGAAGCAACCCCTTCTTTCTCCTTTAGCCTCACAGGTTATCTCTCAAGACTCTCTCTGTTTTCCTCCCAAGCACATTACATGCCTCTGTGTTTCCTCTCAAGCACATTACATGCCTCTGTGTTTTCCTCACAAGAACTATTACGTGAATAGGGTTTTTCAACCCTAGCAGACCTATAATGTTATATATATATAGGCCTTTACAAAAACCTAATTCTAATTCCCAACTAATTATAAGTCAGCTAATTCAATAAAAGAAAAACCCTAAACCTAAACTATATATACGTCCAATTAAAATACACGTTATTAAAACACTAATTAATCACATAATTAAATTAAATCAAAATTAAACAATTAAAGTAAAACAAATACACAATTAATTTGAATTAACACAATTAAGCAAATAATAAAATAAATTCATAATTAATCAATTAAGCAAATAAGTCATAAAAATGCAACAAAAATCCAAAATCATAATTTAAAATACCCAGACTATCCTTTCTAAAATTTGGGGTATTACAGCCACTTCCTTTCTTTAACCTGAAAAATGTTAAAATGATAGAGTGAGCTAAATGCTCAGTAGGAAGTGTCTAAGACACATCTCGTATATCGGGAATCAAGTAAAACCACTGCATCATCAACAAACATACATTTCTCTACCAATTACCAAATGCACCACGTATGCCAATGATGTGTTATGCCATGCAATGTCACTCCCTGTTTCCGAAACCATACCGTTTCAATTTCCAAACCGTTAGTGTAATCTGAGCCAAGGCACCTCCAAGGCGTCACGAAAGGGGGATTGGCTAACCATCCACGGCCACAAGGCACCTCCAAGTTGTCGCATCTGGCCTGGTTAGCTCAACCACACTAAAGTTTCTCCCTAGTCCCCTCTCTAGACCATACTAACACTACGGACCACTAGGCACCTCCTAGGCGTCCAGGTTTTCACAAACACTTTTCAAAAACTTTTTCCCAAAACAATTTCATTGGTTTTAAAAAATATATTAAAACTTTTTCTTTCCCAATGGATGCATGAATGCTTCATACTTCACAATTTACCATAATTTTCACATTATCAAACCTTAATAACATTCCATACTAACGAGGAAATGTCTCATGAATTTATAGCATGCTTTCAGTCAACAAAATTTCTACAATTACACATATTAAATAAGGACATAATCAGAAAAACATGCTTTCCATATCCAATTAACAAATCATACACACATATATTATTTATTCATAACACACATAGAGATACGCATCATATATCTAACATCATGGCAATTTCTCAAGAAAAATTTACAATAAATCTCATACATTCCATCTACATCATGATCACATTATTAAGGGAAATCCTAACATTTATTTTTATAATTTCAACATCACTTTTCTTAACAATTAAAAATAATGGGGCATCTAAAATGTCAATACTAAGCATGTATCTTCACCACCAAATATATAAATCATAATCATTGGCTCAATTAACACATATAATACATCCATCACCTTAATTACCTACAACCACAACAACATAGGCAAAATTGCTAAAATCAAACATGCTTAGAATCAAATTAAAAGGGAAAACTCACAAAAGATCAAAGAAAATATGAATTAGAGCATCCCTACCTCTTAATTATAGAAAGCCCCAAAATTCCCAAAGTGAGACAAAAATTCGAAATCCCTAAAGTGCACCAAACTGAAATTGCTTACACCCACTTGAAGATCTCACCGATCTCTTCGATTTGTCGCAAACGGCATCCAAAAATTCCCAATGATGAAGGAGAAATCAAGACTTTAGTGTAAGAAAAGAGAAAAAAAAAAAAAAAAAAAATAGAAACCAGAGATGGAGAGATAAAACGTAGCAGTAGATAAAGGTTGTGAAGACAACCTATGAGAGAGCGGCTTAGAGCTCTCAATGTCTAGGAGGTGTTTTCCTCCTTGTTTGCTCTACCCCTCTTGGCCTTGGAACACTTCCTTATATAGGCCAGGTGAGAGGTTAGATGATGTTATTGGATGACATCACATATGAATTAATTAATATAATAATTAAAAAAGAGAAATATTTCAAATAATTATAAAGCTATATTAAAATGAGGTTGATAATTTCGGGAGTCAAAATGGTATTTCTCTCTCTGCGAGTCAGGTCGAGGGTCAACTCGACGAGCCTTGGACTTCAGCCACCAAACCAAATACCTCTCGGATCCCAGGTAATTCTGAGTCCTACTCCCAACTCAGGTCTTTAAGTCTTCACAATTCTGTTCGAGGTATAGTGATAACGTGGTAAATGGCACGTATCTTTGACCATTGACCGTTTGATTTGTGGGCCATCGTTACTGATGTGGCGTAGTCTGTTGACTAATGTGGTCTATAAACTGACCTTTGGGCATTTTAATGACCAAAAATGCATGCGGGTCCCACGGCCTAATTATAATAACATTTAACATTATTTCTTATATATATATATATATATATATATATATAAACATTACAAAATTTCTAGCAGAAAACAATATATAAGAGGAATTGACACAATAATCTTTTAAAATATATGCATTTTTATTACATTAGGCCTTGCCTAGTAAGCGATACATAGATATTATGATTAACAAGCCAGTGCTTTCATAACTTCAGTAAAAATGACAACAACCACCAACTAGATTAGGCAGCCTCTTATTTTTTTGCTACTCATTCTTGTTCTTCTTATTTCTTTGCTGGTGTCCCGCCAACTGATGCCTAGAATACCATTAAAATGCGGGTCAAAACAATTATATATAGTATATACAGATAATATATGTATGCATGTATGTGAGAATGCACATACCTTCTTCTTAGGCTCCAGGGGCTTCAGCTCAGGCTTCTTAGGGGCCTGTTTGGTGACTGGAGCTTTGACAGGCTCGCTCTTGGCCTGGCCAGAGCAGCAAGATTTCTCAACCTTTTGTGATGCCATTTCTTCTGAACACTCTTACACAAAAGGGACTAAAACCAAGCTTAAGTATCTACCTCCTTGTTGGCTACAACTATCATATCCATCGAAACACATTTATTTATAGTTAAAGAGTTCAAGATCAAAGCATGGATATATCTTGAAGCTAGTCATTGCTCGCACTATAATGAAAAGTTAGATGTATCAGTTCGAGGGAATCAGATGCTATGTTAAAAGCATTCACAGATATTTTCGGAGCATAAGCCTTAGAGAGCAAGAACAAATTTCATGTCCAAATCATTTTTTGGACAATTTGATGTGGGGGACTTCGCGCACTGAGATTCTATTTGGCCTTTCTGTTAATCCTCCCTTTGTGTGTTTTCATATTAGAGTGAACCCTTTCTTTTCAGTTTGGTCTCTTGGATAATTTATATTCATCTCTAATCATCCGGCCTTGAACCTAGTTGAGTATGTATGTAGGTTAAAATCTGAATGCAGACAAAAATAAATCAAGCATTATGATTTGTAACTTCTAGGTTTGATTTCTAGGAATGTCAAAACTGTCATTGTAATGCCACCCAACAATGGAGAGCCTATTTTTTGCTCAGGGTTTACGCGGCCAAAGAGTCATTGTAATGCCGTCCAACAATGGAGAATCTTTTTGATGGCTTTATGGACCGCATAGAGATCACCATCAGTTCTTATTCTTCCTGCTGAACCACTCATCTTTCCTGGAGTTTTCTTCATTGATTGTCACTTGCTTTTGTCCTATTGAATTTGCTTCTTTTGTGAGGCCGGAATATTTTTTATCAGCAAATTTTGGATTGAAATAATTGGACCTTAGAAATATTTTCTTTTTCGGTAAGAGCCCTAAGAAATATTTTCAATAATAATTTTCATTATGAATTCAATTTTACATTTAGAAAAGCTTGTAAACAATATCAGTAATAACTGTCTCTATCATGATGGTTGCATCAATTTGAACAAAAACTTCAACAAATATTATCTCAGCCTGAGATAGGTACGTATTAACAATCCTCAGCTCTACATAATTCAAAAAACCATGTCCAACAAATTAAAGCGTGGTCACGGAGCAAAGTTGTGGCCTGTTTGACATCCACTAGAATGGAAGAGATGACATATTGGTCGAGTGGTTGAAGATTATTGAACCAATCCAATTTTTTGAACTATCATATAAATTCCATCATGAAATTACTATGTTAGTTCAGGTAGAGGTTACTGAATATGACATCTTAATTCATCTCAGTTCATCACTCCATCTTAAAATTGTGGTGGTAGCAATTTGAAATTACAAATGGCATTAATCATCCTTGTTCCAAAATAAAAAAAATATATATCAAATGAGTCATATCATTACACTACACACACATAAACCCCAAAATTTAGATCAAATAGAAAGTTTGGATTTGTGAAGCTTTTGATCAACATCAATCTCATAACAATAACTAGCAATCGAGTTCAAAGCTTTTCACTAAAACAAGGACGAAAAAAAAAAAAACCAATAAACAAAAAATTAGTATAATATCAACAATAGTTAGTTAATTAGTTGGTATCTACCATAATGTTAAGCATATTTTAGCTTCAGTTCCATTTTTTTTTTCATTTCAATAGTATCTTTCCGGCCCACATCATTCGTTATAGGTTTCAAAAGGCAGCAACATTTTTTTCTTGCAAGATATCTCCTCAGTAACAGTGGCTAAAAATTCCATTTTCCGTAGTCTTGTTATGGAATGTCAACAATGTTATAGTTGAAGGATACTGTAAGCCAGTCATGCAGTTAGGCCTCGGAAGAAACTCTTGCTGTGATTATCCCTGAAATCAAAGAGATGCTCTGTGTTTGCAGGATATTTCGCCTTAATTTGTGGATTGGATTTGAGTTCTTGTCCTCTCGGGGTGTTGAATGCTCCGAAGGATGACTGCTGTCCTGCTTTCTAGCTTTGTTTTTTTTTTTTTTTTTTTTATGTGTGAGGTAAAATATAACAATAAAATAAAAAATTCTTATTACTTTCTGCAACTATTTGGGATTGAAAAGGGTTTTGCGTAGAGTCAACCATTTGAGCATACGTCATTGGCTAGTTAGAAATTTTTTTTTTCCTTTTAGATTGATATTCTGTCATGCAACTGAACAGTCACTTTATTTCTAAAATAAATAAGGCAGAAAACCATATATAAGAGAAATTGACACAACTATCTTTTAAAGATATGTATCTTTTATTATAATTTCATTTAGGCCAAGCCTAGGAAGAGATACATAGATATCATTCACAAGCCAGTGCTGACATAACTTCAGTAAAAATTACACGGACTTTGTGCAGCTTCCTGGTGTACAGCTACCTGATGCCTGAATACAATTAAAATGCCAATCAAAACAACTATAAAGATAATAAATTATATATATATATATATCCTAAAGTCATGTGATGCCTTAAATACAATGAAAAAAATCCTACCATATGTTGATTATATATGTATGCATGTATGTGAGAATGCACATACCTTCTTCTTAGGCTCCCGGGGCTTCTGCCCGGACTTCTTAGGGGCCTGTTTGGAGACTGGAGCTTTAACAGGCTCTTTCTTGACCTGCCCAGTAGGTTTCTCAACTTTTTGTGATGCCATTTTCGCACAAAAAGGACTAACACCTTACTTATCTACCTTCTTGTTCACAACGTACTATCAGCTCCATCGAAACACGTTTATTTATACTTAAGAATTCAAAATCAAAGCATGGATCTTGAAATCATTTCAAGGAAATGGAATAACTGAACTGGACTGGTGCTGCAAAATGCTGAATCAGATGCTTTGGGTTAGGCATATCTTACTGGTCCTGTACGAATCGTATGCTAAAGCATTGCCTGGTATTTTCAGAAGATAAGACTTATACTAAAAGTAAAAATTTCATTTCCAGATCATTTCAGGACAGAATTTTCCCTTACACATAATTATATTCAAGAATCTGGCAATTGATATTAAAAGATAGTCATGCTCGGAGTACTCATCATGAAATTTATTTCATGTATTAAGTTTTCTAACTATGAAGCAGTTAATAAGGACACTCTATGCAATTTAAGAAAATATATAGTTGAAGTGATCTGAGGAACAAATAAAATACCTTTTTTTTTGCAAGAGATTGAGTATTACCTGTTGGTACAAAAAATTATTTCTACTTTTCTGATTTCACTTCATGGAAAGACTTGCAGGGGTGAAATAAATATCCTTAAATTGCTTTTTAGATAACATCAAATGACCTACTGAATTTTAAGGACAAACAAAAACCATGTTTCTACAAATTTCTCACAGACGTAGTAAAAGTTGTCCCTGAATCAGAACAAACGGTTACTGGAATGACACCCCATAATGGATATTCATTTTAAAGAATTTATAGTCTTTGTTGAGGGATTACTTCATGTGCATTACTGAATAAGACATCTTAATTCATCTCAGCTCATCACTACATCTTAAAGTTGTGGTGGTGGCAATTCGAAACTATAAATGGCATTAATTTATCATCTTTCTTCTGAAGTAAAAAGTATCAAGTGAATCATATCATTCACACACACAGGCACTCCAAAATTTAGTTCAAATAAAAAGTTTGGATTTGTGAAGCTTTTTATCAACATCAATCTCATAACTAGCAATAGATTCCAAAGCTTTTGACTGAAACAAGGACACAAAAAAATAGAAAACCAATAAACGAAAAAATAGTATCTAAATCAGAACCAAATTAAAAAAATTAAAGCATGGCATAACAAAACTGCAACACTCCAAACTGTGGCTTGGCTTTACATTTTGTACCAGCATGTGTGGTCTAGAGGAAATTTGGTATAATATCAACACTAGTTGGTTTATTAGTTGATATTTACCATAATATTGCATATTTTAGCTTCATTTCCATTTTTTTTTTTTTGGTTCCAATAGTATCATTTGATATAGGTTTAAAAAGGCAGCAACATTTTTTTTTCTTGCAAGGTATCTCCTCTACGATAGTGGTTGACGGTTCCATATTCCGTGAAGCTTTGAGATTAATCTTGTTATTGAATGCCAACAATGTTATAGTTGAAGGATACCGGTAAGCCATGTGAGTCGTACGCAACGGAATGTATTAAGAAAAGTTTTAGATTTTGTAAAACAGATCTGTGTCGTTACCAACTTTACTTATTTTAGCAATTAAACAGTTAATCACATACAGATAAAATAAAGCAAAGTATAAAGTTAGAGATGAAACCAGAATTTTAGCGAGGAAACCCTAGTTGATAAAATACATCAACTGTGATGGGAAAAACCTTGTGGACTCGTGCAGTCCAAAGTAAACCAATCCACTATGATTGAAACAAAGTATACCGAACTTTGATTTTGGCTCACACCTTATCGTTCTACACCACACCAACCGATGACGATCCTCTGGCTTTGCGACTCCCCATCCAACAGCAACTTAACCTCAGGCTTACACTTGATATTTGTAGAAGAGTAGCAGGTAGATCAGACAGCACTCCACGAATGCTCCAACCCTTCCAAAGTGTGACTGCGTTTACAGAAAAATCAACTATGATTTTCTGAGAGAAATAAACCTCCTAAGGCTTTAAATAATATCAGAATTATAATGTAAAAGCCATGAATAAACCAATGTATATGACATGGTTTATATAGAGTATATAATGACCGAATCCCACTGAAAATAAGGAAAAATTCGTGCAAATGATTTGGTACAATTCTAGACCAACTGGGAAACAATTCAGAATAAGGAAACTGAAGTTGTATAGCACAGGACATCTTGAACAGGTTTAAGGAAGCTGAACCGGTTCAAGTTTGGCAATGACTCAAACTTGAGCATTTTAAACCGGTTCAAAGAAGCTGAACCGGTTCAAGGTTGGCAGACCTGAATATTCGAATTCTTTCAACCTTATTTCATTCTACGAGAATTTCATACTAACATAATAAATGTAGAATGTCCAACCTTGTTCATATTCCTTCCTAAAATAGTGTTCTTACCCTTTTCTTCACAAAATCTTCAAGTATGGTAAGTTTGAACTCCTTCCCAGTTCTGTAGTCCCTGTCGAACTTGATGAATTGTAAAACAAGTAATTTAAATTACAACTCAACTTGGACTTGTTATGTCTACGATAATTGCCAAAAATAATTAATATCTCGCAAGCCAGTCATGCAGTTCATAGTCTCGGAAGAAGTTCCTACTGTGACTATCTATGAAATCAAACATATGCTCTCTATTTGTAGAGATATATTTCGCCTTTGTGGATTGGATTGGAGTTCTAATCCTCTCGGGGTGTTGAATGTTATAAAGGATGACTGTTGTCCTGCTTTCTAAGTTTTTTTTATGTGTCAGGAAAAAGAAAAAAAAAAAAAAAAAACATTTTTTTTTTTAATTACTTTCTGCAACTATTTGGGATTGAAAAAGGTTTTGTGGAGAGTCACATTTTTTCATATCCTATTTCGCTTTAGGACCATTTGAGCATATGTTCATGGCCAGTTAGAATTTCTTTTAGGTTGAGATTCTGTCATGCAACAGTCCTGACACTTGATTTCTTAAATAAACAAGGCAGAAAACCAGTAGATAAGACAAATTGATGCAATTATCTTCCAAATATATGTATCTTTTATTATAAATTCATTTGGCCAAGCCTAGTAAGAGATACATAACTTCAGTAAAAATGACAAGGACCAACAACTATATTGAGCAGCTTCTTGGTGCACCTCTACCAGATGCCTGAATACAATTAAAATGCCAATCAAAACAACTATACATATAATAATTTTTTTAAATATATATATACATCTCATGTATGTGAGAATGCACAAACCTTCTTCTTAGGCTGCTAGGTCATCTGCTCTGGCTTCCTAGGGGCCTGTTTGGAGACTGGGGCTTTGGCAGGCTCTTTCTTGACCTGTCCAGTAGTTTTCTCAACTTTTTGTGATGCCATTCTTCTGAAACACTCTCACACAAAAGCGACTAACACCTTACTTATCTACTTTGTTGTTCATTGTGAGATATATTTTTGTAATTGGCATATTTCGATAACAAAACAAGTCCTAGTTGAGTTATAATTTTAGTTACCATATCGAACTCGACATCGACTGCAGAATTGAAAGTTTGTTCAGAAGAGAAAAGTATTGTTGATTATCGAAAAGAAAATAATAACACAATAGGACATCGTTTTCCACTTAGGACACAATAATATACATGGTATATTTTCAGATTTCCAAAAATACAGAAATTCTAAGTTCAGGTTGAATTCTGTTACATGGGAACCAGTACCAAGATTTGGGAACTGGTTCCAGAAGCTACAATCCGAGAAACTTTTACTGTCCTTTGGGAACCGTTACCAAATGTGGGAACCAGTCCCAGAAGTCTTGTTTGCAAAAAATTTTCAGTTTCCTTGTTCTGTTTAATTCCTTTTTAATCCAACTTTCCTTTTAAGTCCTACGCACGAAATTTCCTTTATTTTCAGAAGGAACACGACTTTGAAAACCTCTATATAAACCATGTCATACACATAAGTTTATTCACGGCTTTTAATAATTATTCATATATCATACAAAGTCTTAGGAAATTTATCCCCCTCAGAAAATCACAGTTGATTTTTTTGTTGTCTTTCTAGAACATACACATATTCACCTAGTAAGGTTAGAGTTGTGGGGTTCGAATTCTGATCGTGATCATACAGTTGTATCTACATCGATCAGGCAAAGCAGATCTTCTTCTATATCATTCAGACGATTGAAAAACAGAAGTAAAAATAATCACACTTTGAAAGGGTTGGAGCATTCGTGGAGTGTTATCTGATCTACCTGCTACTTTTCTACAAATATCAAGTATAAGTCTGAGGTCAAGTTGTTGTTGAATGGGGAGTCGCAAAGACAGAGGGTCAGCAGTTGGTGTTTGGTAGAACGATAGAGTGTGAGCTAGAGTCAAAGTTCGGTATACTTTGTTTCAAGCATAGTGGATTGCTTTACTTTGGACTGCACAGTCCACGAGGTTTTCCCATAACAGTTGACGTATTTTATCAACTGGGGTTTTCTCGCCAAAATCCTGGTGTCATCTCTAACTTTATACTTTGCTTTATTTTATCTACATATGATTAACTGTTTAATTGCTAAAATAAATAAAGTTGGTAATGACAAAAATCTGTTTTACAAAACCTAAAACTTTCCTTTATACATTCCGCTGCGTACGACTCACAAATTGGTATCAGAGCCAATCTCTACATATTGAGTTGATCCTTGTTGGAAAGTTTAGTTTTATTTTCAAAAATTGTTTTAATCATATCTTATGCGTTGAAAGAATGTGGTTCTAATCAACGTGGTCCTTTATTTGAAGGAGATAATTACAATTTTTGGAAATCAAGGATAGGAGCTTATTTGCAAAATTCTGGTGGTAAAACTTGGGCAATAGTTGAATCTGGCTATACACCTCTTACAGTAGATACAACTGTGGATGGTAAAATAGTCAAAGAGTTAAAAGATACTTTTTTTTTTACAGCTATTAAAACTGAGCGTAATGATGCTAATGACAAAGCTTTATATTCAATTATTAATTTTGTTGTTCCATCTGAATATGCTAGAATTTCTTATTGTAAAACTGTTAAAGAGGTTAAAGAGGCTTGGGATATTTTGCAGGTTACTCATGAAAGAACTTCAAAAATGAAGTTGTCCAAAATTCAGTTGCTCTTTCATAAATTTGGCAATATTATGATGAAAGAAGATGAATCATTTTCTAATTTTTATTTTAGTCTTCTTGAAATAATTTCTGAACTGCGTCATTTAAGGAAAAAAGTTAGTGATAAAAAAATCTGTGAGAAAATCTTAAGATCTTTACCTAAAAGATTCAAGATTAGGGTTGAAACCATTTCTGAACATTGGGATTTGACTACTTGTCAAGTAGATAAGATGGTAGGTTCATTAAAAACTTTTGAGATGCAGAATTTTAATTTAAGTCAGAAGGAGAAAAATCTTGCTTTAAAATCTACACAGGTTGAGCATTCTGTGAATGATGACTCTGAGGATGATATTATATTTTTGTCAAGGCAATTAAGTCAGATTTTCAAAGGCAACAGAGGAGAAGGAATAGCAACATGGCTAATTCTCAAAATTTTGACAAAACGTCAAAGTTTAGGTTTAATGAGAAGAAAGTAGAAGAATCAAAAGAAACGGAATTTACTTACTGGAATTGTGGTGGCAAAGGTCACGCATCCAATATTTGTCATAGTCCTAGGAATTAAAAACAAAATGATAGGAATAAAGAAAAAACAATTAAAGTTTCTATGTCTGAAAATTCTACTTTAAGTGATAGTGATTCTCTTCAGGATGATTTTAATGATTTTTCTTATATCACTTTTCTTGATAGAGGTTCTCATGTCGTTAATTTATCTAACTCTGACAGTTCAGATAATGAACACAATGAAGTTCGTGATGAACAGGTTGAAGAGGCTGAAAAGGACGAAGAAAGACTGAAGAAGATGGTCAAAGAAACCATTGAGACCAAACATGCAATCAATAAGCTAGCAAATGAGCTTATCCAAGTAAAAGGAGAGAAGGCAAAAGGAAGGCTGTTGAAAGCAATTTTGTCATCACTAAGCTTAAGAAGTAAATCATCATTCTTGAGGATAAGGTAAGTGTTGCTAACTCATTGAAGGAATGTCTTACTTTGAAATATGATTATCTTAAACTTGAATTGAAATCTGAACAAGATAAACTGAAAGGGTTCAATATGAGTCAAAATAGTTTGAACAAGATAATCAACATGGGTAATGATGTGAATGATAAAACAGGGTTATGATTTGTTAAAAGTTCTTCTAGTAATCAAGGTATATAAAACAAATTTTGTTAAACCTACTATTATGCCTAAACTATGTTTGCCTGATGCATCACATTCTGATATATCTTATGTGCCTAAATTGTTGCATTGCACTTTTTGTGGAAAGAATGGATATAAGTATAACTCATGCCTTCACATGCAGGAAAAAGAAAATTTTTTCTAAAATTCAGTCTCAAAATTCTCATGCTAAGAAAAAGGTGTGTTCTAGGAGGAAAAAAAAATTGTCACCTAAGTGTTCTAGAACTGAAATTTTGCTTAAGGGGAGGTAAAGAATGTTAACGAATTTCAGGAATTGAGAGTGAGATGCGTAGATCAAAAAGTCTGATTTGATCAAATATGTGCCTGTTAAGTCCTTGGAACAAGTTTCCAAAAAGACTTCACCTTTTTATTGAGTCCTATGAATTTTAGTAATCATGGCTTGTGTTTAAAAGAAAATTTTGTTGCCATTGGATCACTTGCTAGGATTTGGTTTAGGGTTGAGTTTCTGATCATAATCTTTATGAAATATTTGTGAAAATACTTCCATTGAATTTATGATCTATCTTTGAATGCAAATTTGGACACATGTTTTTTAATTAAAAATAGATTCTTGGTTTGTAATCTATACAATTAAAATTGATTTGCATTGATTAAGTAATTTTTAGATTTGAATCTCTTATGTTCATAACCTTTTGTGCACTAATCTAAATCTGAAAATTTTGATTGAAAATCTGTGAATCGTTGACTGGAGTATATTGATCATAAAAGTTATAAAGGTTATTGTTTTAAAAAAAAAAATAAGACCATAAAATAAAAAATAAAAAAAAAAAAAAATAGATTCAGCATGAAAAAGAAAAATAAAAAAAATTGTTGAATTCTTTGTTTAGGAAAATGCTACCTATTAAGATGTGTTCGAAAGCTCTCATTAGACTTTGAAGAGGAGCTAAATGAGTAAAAAAGAAGGTGGCCAGAGACAAATTGAATTGGGGAATTACTGTCTGCTCATTAGAGTGAAAGCCACCTTACTTAGAAAAATTGTTCAAAGACAATTTTATCTTGATGTTTTTCAATCAATATAGTTTGGACAATGATTTTTGTTAATTGATTAAAAATTGATGAGATGGATTGCATACACACACATGAACTTGCTAGATTGATTTCTAAATGTTTCATTAAAATTTACAAGTTAAAATTCGTGTTGTGATTATTTCCTGAAAATTAAAATTGATTGAATATTCTGTTGAGACAAAATTTATGTTCATAGATATCTCTGAAAATTTTTTGGAAATTTGGATCATGTGTGGACTTGAATGACTTTAATTGACTGCCCAATGATTTGTTCTTTATTTTAATTTTAAATTAAATTAAATTAAAATTCAAAAATATAAAATCTAAAAAAAATTCAAAAAGATTTTTGGTTTTGATTGTAGTTTATTTATTTGATCATTGAGTGTTTCAAAAGACTCTTAGAAATTTTTTTGTTTTTTGAAAATTTTAAGTCTAAAAATTTCAGGTCTGTCATATGCCTACCAATTCTAGGAACCTCCTACCGATTCAAGCTATAAAGGAGCAGCACATAAGTCTTTGGAGCTTGGTTACCGGTACCACAAGTTTGGTACCGGTTCAACAATTATCCAAAACCACGTTTTACTCACTGCCCAGTGGGAACCAGTTCCTACTTTGGCTACCGGTTCCTGGCAGCGGACTTAATTAGGCTTTAAGAAACCCATTTTGGCATTGGGTTGGTTGCATACATCCACTTTCTCTCTCTATATGTAATTCTTTCTCTCTACATAACTTCATATACATACTTATATATATCTTCATATTTTGTTCCATTCTTGCATCATTCGCATCATGAATTACAAGTTGAACATGGAATCCATCATTTGAACTTGAGATTTGAAGATTGAAGATTGAAGTTTGAGATTTCAAGAAATTTTGTGGAGGTTGGGGTTTTTGACAAGAACTTAGTGGATTGGTTAATATTCTTATTCAAGTTGAAGATTAAGAGTTGGTTGGATTGAGATTGAGTTATTGTTTGCTTGTTGTGGTGTTGATATTTGGGGGTTTTGGAGATTCAAACTTGTTTGTCCAAGAACAAGTTGTAAAGTGCATACCAAGTGTTCCAAAAAATTACTACGTGAGATTCGGAGCGTCAAACCAAAATTCTTTGAACACAAGATGCCTCCAAAATTGTCTCGACAAGCCAAAGGAAAAGGAATTGCATCTCCGCCACCTCCCAAAAGAGCCCGAACAAGTATAACCATCCGGGAATCACAAGAGGGTTCAACCGCTCCAAGGGATGCTCCCACCTCTCCTGTGCGTTCTAGCTCGCAGTCTACTTAGATACCATCTGGGTATCCTTCAGTATCTGATATTAGGAAAATTGAGTTTGCTCAAAAACACTTCTACAACGAGCATGCTTGGCAATTATACACTAAGGTGTATAAGGAGGTCCGATTAAATCGGAAAGAAATGTGAACTTGAAGAAACTTAGTGATAGTCCGGGGAAGAAATTGGTTGACTACATTGAGAAGCACAAGTGGTTGTTGTTTACCACAATGGCGAATTCTTATAGTCCCGATTTAGTTCACTATTTCTATTCAAATATCCGCAAGGTTCATGATTTAGGATATTTTGAGGTGTCATTGTTTGGGAAGGACTATGTTGTTCATACTGATGTGATCGGCAAAGTTCTTGGCATTCCCAAGAATTTTTCAAGCACTGGCTATCGTCTTTCACTGGAAAATGGGAAGATATTTGCAATGAGTTGTGTGTTCCAGACTCACCATGCCAAGATTTCCCGACCACACAATATGAATTCAACTAACATTTAGAAAAGCTTGCATACAAGATCAGAAATAACTGTCACCATTAGGAAAGTTAGAGCTATATACACAAGTCAAAGGACTACGTCCAACAAATCGAAGCCAAAATTTAGATCATGAACTGAATTCGAAGACAGAGTCCCCATTGTTGGAGAAGAAGTTCGGTTGAGACGAGTGACACTTACCGTACTTTTCATCAGTCATCGCCATTACTGAATCTTTCTCATATTTGAAAAGAAGTTACGTAAAACATATATAAGTGCACTCATAAAGAAGTTTACTGAATAATAGATATAAAATTAACAATGTAAGAGCTCTAAACAAATTTACTTAAATTATAAGCAGGCTGGCCATATGATTTGAAATCAATCAAATCCTATAAATCCATTATCCTAAAGCTAAAGTTGAACTACTGCTATACTTAGATTTCACACATTTGTTGCCAAATTTTGCTGCTTTTAGCACAGCAACGACTCTCTCTAGCTTGAGAACCCGAGTTTCAAGTTCCAATTCCGGCAGCCAAGAATGACAATTTTTACTGTATAATCGTACAATCTCTTAACAGAAATCTACTAAAAAAGGTTTACTGTATAATCGTACTGATAGTGATAAGCCACAAAAAGTATGACAATTTTATGATATAGATTTTCAAGAATACTAATGTTCAAAGGAACGTTTAGGGTGTTGCGGTCCTCATACCTTAGGAGATAGAGAGGTCTCCTCTAGGGGTGTGTACGGTTCCGGAACCATTCCCAACAGTTCCCAATAGTATTCAGATGTCCCATTAGTATTGGTTGTCTATGATCATCTTCACCTGAAATGCATTGACTAAGAGTACCACATGTAAATACCCGTAAAGCATTGTATAATGAACAATGATATGTAGGGCACGATGTAAATACCTGTAAACGATGTAAATACCCGTGAAGCATTGTATAATGAACAATAATATGTAGGGCCCATGCCCGATCTTTAGAGAACAATTGTAGGTATCTCTTCAAGTGCTCCTATGTTAGAGTTGCAAATGAATAGAACAGAGTCAAATGTAGGTTCAAATTAATCTACCCAAAAGCATTGTAACAGTTATTTGAGATTGAGAGACAAAAAATAAAAAATAAAAACCACAATGGTCTTGTGAGACTCGAACTATTAGGCCACAGGCCTTTCAGTTTATTTGTTTCTAGGCCAAATGAATAACATCACTACACACACTCCATAATTTAGATGAAATAAACAGTTTTGAATATTTGTGATGCTTTTCATAGACATCAATCTCATTATAACAATAACTATCAATAGAGTCCAAAGATTTTGGCTAAAACAAGGATTTAATTAAAAGAAATATTAGAAACCAATGAACAAAAAATATAATCTAAAACAAGAACAAATTAAAAGAAATTAAAGAATGACACAACAAACTGCAACACAACAACAGTGGGACCAACTGCAGCACTCAGGTCAGGTATATTTGGGCTTGGTGGTGGTTGGAGCTGCTGCGACGAGTTAGTCTCCAACACTTTGATGATCATCTTCTGTCCCCTCTCACAGTGTCCCGAGACGCCGCTGATGAAATAAAACAGCCCTGAACGATTGAATTCGAAGATGGTGTCTCCATTGTTGGAGAAGAAGATCGGGCGAGACGAGTGACACTTACTGTACTCTTCATCACTCACCTCCAAAACCGAATCTTTTTCATACTTAAATCCTGTAAAACAGTAAAAAAAAGAATGTTATACATGTACAACATATATATATATATATATATATATAAAAGTCTATGAGTCTATGCCTGAAGACAACTATATAGTAATTTATTATTATTTTTATTTTAATTTTTTTTCGAAATCAAGCAATTCAAGTTAGCAGGTTCTAACACTGAACAAGGCAATGTGCATACAATCACAATATTACTTTTAATAGGGCCAAAAGCCCTAGCAGGTTCGAACACTCGATAGGCAAACGTACATGCTACCACAGTATTGCTTTTAATAAGATTCGAAAACCCTAACAAACTCGAACACTCAACAAGTCAATGTGCATATAACCACAATATTACTCTTAATAGAACCGAAAACCCTAACAGGTTTGAACACTCAATAGGCAAACGTGCATACAATCACTCAATAGGCAAACGTGCATACAACCACATGCAATATAGCTCGCTCTTAACAGGACCCGAAAACCCTAGCAAGCCCCAACACTCAACCTAGCTTCCCCTTTGGGAACAAAGAGACATATAGGTTAATGTGTTACACTTACTAATAGTGTCATTGACTTGAAACCTATGGTGGCTTGCCCATTTGTTGTAAGTTTGGTTACTAGTAGAGGAGGGAATGATCCAGCCTTTCTCATCATTCACTTCAAATTCAGCTGAATTTACGAGTAGGGGCTGATGTAGGGGAGAGGAGAGAGCTAAGAGGATGATGAGTTTGAATGAAGTTGTGAAGATAGTTGCCATTTTCAATGGATGACTCTTTTGAGGTTGTTTTTGGAAGAAATTAATATGGATTAGGTTGAGATGTTAAAGTTGATTTTGAAGGGTTTTAGGAGTTTAAATGAGTTTGTTAGAGAGAGAGAGAGAGTCATGGGACAGGACTGTTCCATGTACCGTTTTGTAGGGCATATAAGGGCTAGCAACCTTTGACTTCGTACATTTGCTTGCGTGAGTAACGGACCTCAAACATCTCTAGGTCCTAGACACGTGGCACTATATCAAATACCTTCCTCTTTTTTTTCTTTTTTCTTTTTTTCTTTTTTTCTTTTTTGAAGAGGATCGAGTCACATATCATGAAAATGTTTTCAAAATAATAATAATAAATAAATAAATAATTGTTTTCTCCTTCTTCACTGAGTTCACTCAAATTATAATTTTGCGAAAGGAAATCGTAATTGTATTAATCACTGTAGAAGGCCCAGAAAATTGGCCTGATTAGGGGAGAAGGCATCAGTGTGTTCGACCCAAGATGCAGATACAACGAAACAAGATGTCCAAGCCCAATATTTTGTTAACCCAACCTGAATTGAGAGGCGGCCCAAACCCAATACGGAACAACAAATATGTACTGCCAGAATCAAGTTATTAAGGCGTGGCGGTATTGTCCGAGTGATGATAGGGTCAGACCAAAAGTGACCCTCACCCTATCGATCTTAGGTTTGATTCCCAGAAAAATTAAGTCTCATTTTTTTTTTTAATTCTTAAATTTCTTATTTTTGTACAACAATTGTCTGGCTACAATGTTAGTTGTCATGTTAATTAGGGGGAAAATAAAAAATTATCTTATCATGTTCAATGTGTCTCTAAAATAAATTACTCGCTTTGTGAGTGTTTGTATAAAAAAAATTTAAAGAATTAATTTGAAAAGAAATTCATGAATCAAGACATATAGAGATAATATAGGTGTGTAATTTTTTCTCCATAACACTTATTATATACAGATATATATTGGATAGAAGGCAGTGCATTCAATAGAAATCTCAATGGGAAGGTGGTATGCATTAATCCACCAATGAGAATGGTAAAGGATTGCTTTCATAATTGAAATTCCACTTTTTCATTGGATATTTTTTTTAATATTTATGAACAATTGTAGACTTTTTGCCTTAGATTTAAAACCACGGTTGGGAGACTTAATTATAAGTACTGTTTGGTTAGTGATGAAATGTTCAGCTCTACGTTCTAATATTTTTGTACGCTACATCACCAATTAGAGGATCAAAATTACTACTTCACAGTAGGGGATTTTGATCTCTATAACCATTTCAATCCGTCTTCACATATTTGCACAAAATCCAATCAAACAAGAAATCTCGACATGATTATTAAATATTAAGAAATAGTAAGACAAAGGAGTGCTAATGATAATCGTAATTCAACACGATGAACGCAATTACATAAACAATTCATCTTTTTAAGTTATAATCTCCGATATAATCCTTACATACTATATATTCAAACTTCCAATATATAATTAATTACATGTAACGAAAACTATACAAGAAAACCAACAAAATTTTGCATATATACAATGTAATTGAGAATCTAAAGCGAATATATTAATTAAAAAGATCAACTCCTTATTGGATTTTTTCTCATAAGACTTAATATCGAAGTTCACTAAAACTTTGCAACCCTTAAAATCAATTTTGAGGTGTAGGGTTCACCACTTAATTGTGACCACCTGATGGACCAGAAGGTGGAATTGGGACCCCTTTGGCTAATGTGGTAGCTAGTATCTTTCGATCCGGAAAACCCGGTCCATGCTTCAGCTCCGGCGACTTCATCTTCACTTTCTCGGCCATCATCCTCTCCCCGGCCGGTCCGGTCGCAGTGCATGAACAAACAAGGAACATGATAAGAAAAAGTGTGCAGAGGAAGTGCCATGGAAGATGTATTGGTTTGCATGACGGTGAAGAAGAAGCAGCCATTCTAGAGGGATTTTTTGGATATAGATTTTTGAGATTAGTGTGTGTGTGTGTGTATATATATATATATGCGCGCGCGCATCTATATTTTTTTAGTGTGAAGTTGGGATGCAAATAATTATGAAAGAGAGGTGAAACCATTTGCATGCTAATCACTATTCAGTCTTTGAATGTGAATGGGTTAAAAAACATTAAAAAGTAAAACATACATATATATATATATATATATATATATATATTACAGTATAATATTAGATTTTGGGTTCGATAGTTGGAATGCAAGGCGGCATTGACCGGCTTAAATACAAATATTTGGAATTATTTGAACAAAAGTTGAAGGTAGGTGGTTTAACTTATTGAAAAGCTTCAGTTAAATAATATTGCTCAACCAATTGCACACTATTATTTATTAGGAACTATATTTAACAGTAATGTTCACCGAATTACAAACAAACAACACTTAATTAGTCAACCATTTATGTAACGGCCCAAGAATCACTACCTTGTGTAATCTAGAGTGATATGCATAATTCTGATGTGTTTGGCCAAAAAGAAAATTTATTGTTTCGATTTGTAAATTTACACAAAGTGTATCTAATTTTAGGTGTCAAACTACATTAGAATTGAAAACCCTAACACAGCATATATAGAAGAACTTAAACATCTCAAAAACTGTAAAAAGGTTTATGAAATTGAAATGAACAAGAGGAATAATTAGTCTTATGGATTGTTCGTGGCTCAATTTAAGGGTGCCAATTCGTATTCATGGATCAACAGAAATCTCTTCTATGTTATACGTTCACAAATGAGGATTGCAATTAGTATGTGAGACCCATCAGTGGGTTAACCTCAATCCTCCACCGTTTGGTACAAAGATTTAGGTTTAAAACCAGAGAAGATATGGACGCAAAAAATTTAACTTGTGGTCAGCATTTTTCATAAATAGGCAAGACCAATTTCATCAAGTGTTGCATTTGTATTAGTCCACAAAGTATGTATACTAATGACTTGATTTAGTTAATGACTTGCTATGCCCCTGAAGATGCCAATGCTTCAATTTAATGTAGTTGTGTTTAGGTATATGTATGTTCATATTTTGACTCAAGGCATGGATATAAATCAAGTTCAAACAAACTTTGCTATCCATATTTGCACCATCTAATAGTTGACAGTATGTCCTAGTAGTGCATTCAAATTATTCATTGTCCCTACGTGAAACTTCACATACTTTAAATTAAACGAAAAGTTTGGAGAAAAAAAAAAAAAACATTACTACAAAATATATAGATTCGTGTTATTTATTATTTGAATTAACACTTTATAAGTGGAATCTCATTATTCAACGAATTCAAAATCAATGTCTAATAAAAAATGGGAGTCAGTACTCGATTTCATTGGTACCATCCAACTGAATTCAAGCGGACTCTCCATGTCCACCTCGCACTCATAGTCTATGCATGGATTTTTTGTTTTTTTAAACCTAAATAAATGTGTTGAATTTGAGATATGGAAGTCATTTAACGAAGTCGTTTAAATGTGTTGGATGTGATTCAGCGGTTTACTCGTTGCACTTTGAAATTTAACAAGAGCTTAACAAGTTTAAAGTTTAGGGTTCGACTCCCGTCAGGTATTCTTTGTGTCTAGTTTTCGCTGTCTCTGATTTATCTAGCCCGAGTGGGGAGGTTCCTTTCCAAATAATCGAAAATTAATCGGGTTATTGAGAAATCTTAAGGATTCATGCCTTTCCGAACACACCGAAGTAAAAAATAAAAATAATAATAAGAAAATTCAGTCTTTTAACTATGTACACATTTTTCATGAAGGAGAACAGAAAAGTCAAGCGTTACCGTTATTGATCCCTTCCTTAATGCGGATTATTTAAAACATAACCCTGAAAAGGATTTTTGATTGCAGTGCTGATAATTAAGGAAGAGAATACATAACTCTGGAAATGTCGACTAAAGCTGTAAAGAACATTCAATTAGTTAGTACTAGTACTACTCTTCTCACCACAGTTGAGGTCCAAAGAGCAATAGAAGGTACCTATGAACCTCAAACTAGAACCCTAGTATAAAAAATAGCTGAGTAGATGAGCTGACACAGCATTAAATTCAGGGAATCATCATCATCTTTACTTAAATGTAAAGCTATTATTGCAGACCTTATGTCTACAAGCAACCAATGCAGTCCACACAGTGAGACAGGCCGAGTCTAACCCTTTACATCCACTTTCCAGAGCTGCCGTGCCTTAGGAGTAATTGACAAGATTGCCCTTCTACCTACGATGATAAACCAATGCTGTTCTAAAGCAACGTAAAAAGAGCTCTACCCTAACGTGGAAGAAATCCTCTCCGCTGGAACAGTTATCCGGTGCCATCAAGTTATGAAAGTGCCATACAAAGACGTGATTTTTAGTTCATTTCGTAGCTTTTTTGTAGGTTGAATTTATAACTTGATGAAATTTGGACCGAAGAGAATTTTGTTTCGCCTAATGTCTGATTGCGAGGTTACATTATGTACGTAACATGTATGTGCTGAGGAAACATGTGCATGTTAAAGAGACACTTTTGTAGAATTGAATAGAATTGTAATGAGTGGTAAAAGATTTTAGAATATTGAAGATATTTTAAAGATTAGAGAATTTGTAGGTTTACAATTATAGTAGAGTGAGTATTCTATTATTGTACTTGTACCACATGATTAATAGAATGATATTTTTTATTCGTGTTCAATAGAGAGCAAAAGGTCACCCTTTGGGGTGATTTACAGGAAATAAATAATGCTAAAACAGTGTTTGTTGGATGGGACACCCTTGGGTGGGTTTGTATTTCTATAAATATTATAAATTAAATATTTACATACACTAAGAGCCCGTTTGGAAAGTATAGTGTGATGTAGTGTACTGCTCTACTCTAGAACAGAACAAGTGTTTTGTAGTGTGATGTTCTGAAATGAGAACAAAACATGTTTGGTCTTCCAAATTTGCTCTGAGAATTTTGGAACAAAAACATGGTAGAACATGTTTGGTAATGTATATTATTCTAAGAAATATGAGAACAGAACATATTTGGAAGAATAAAAGTGTAACCAAAATCACTAAAAAAAAAAATTATGAAATATATTTTTTTTTTAAGTGACAAATTCCAAAACTATAAGTTACCAAAAAAAAATTGTTGGTTTCCTTTGTTAAAAAATTACCAATAAAAACCTGTAAATATTACCAATAAATTTCATTGCATGAAATTAGTACGAGTGTTGGGTTTTCTTTATTAAAAAATTACCAATAAAAACCTGTAAATAAAAAATTTTAATCTTCATTACCTTTTTACTAAAAATAGAAAAACAAATTTAATCATATATTATATTATCTAATAATAAGTCACAATTATTTTCTTTCTCCATTTAAATTGAGGTGAAAAAGAATAATTTTAATATACAATTGATATAACTTTTAATATATATATATATATATATATAGTTTTAAAAATTTATCTTAGTTTACTATCAAAACCAATAAAATAAATTATAAATTGTAAATTGTAAATTGTAAAATTTATCTTAGTACAATTTTATTTCTCTTATTAGTAAATTTTATGTATGTTTTTGCTTGAATTGACATTTTGATATTTAAACTCCATCGGTTCATTATTTTTATTAAATATTTTTCTTCAAGAACTCTTTTGCAGAGAATGATTTTTTTTTTTTTCTTTTTCAGTTTTTTTCAATTAATTAATATTATATCATGCTTGTCTCACCAAAAACTCGAACCTGCTGTCTAAAGCAGAAGTTGCTTCATCCAAAATCAGAATAGAGGGATCCTGATAGACAGTCAACAATCAAACTAGAGTTTATCCAGAAAATTGTTGGAGAAACTTTTAAAGTGTTGGGGCACCTACCAGTAAATATTAGCACGAATGAAGTGGGGATAGATTTTGGAGAACGAGGGGTTAAAAGATTTGTAAGAAATCTCAACATACCGAGATGAGAGAGATGAGGAAATAGAGAGAGAGCTTGGGGTAAACCGAGAGTGCAGAGAGAAGCGACGAAGCTTGGGTTCGTCGAAAAATACAGAGGTGAGACAGAGGGAGGTCAGATCTTCATACAAACATGGTCGATTTGAGCCTGATCTTCAAACAACGTCAAAAATGTTAGACATAGCACAACGAAAATAAGAAGAAGAAGCAGAGGAACTCTTTCGTTCCAAGAAGATGACCTTCAGATCTGATTCAGTGTCATCGATTTCAACCCCACAGCAGTAACAAGAAGACCACTGTGAATCGCCTCAGTTGTCTGGAGAGAACCCTAGAACAAGATGGACCGATTCTTTAAATTGTGTTCTCAGAATTCCTTGTTTTTGGGCTGTTGTTCTCCATTCTACAGTGAATAGTGGGCCTTGCAAAATTTGGGAACACTTTGGAACATGATTTTTTTGTTCCGGAAATTGGCCCAAAAACAGAATTTGTTCTAGCACTTTTGGACACAATACAGCCCATACCAAACAAGTTGGTGTCCTCTATAGTGTCCATTTGCACTGTAGGGAATGTAGGGAAGGGCATAGAACAAGATGGAGCATCCCCCAAACAGGGCCTAAAAGACTATCATAGTCAATAACACGAATTAAACAACATTTATCATAACACTTAATTCTTGTTAAAACTGCAAAAATATAAATTATTTGTTGAAAATACAGGTTGATTTGTACAAGTAATTAAATTATGAGAAAACAACAAAAAAACATATAATCTATGGAAATAGAGCATAATATATCCACATGAATCAACAAAATGATTACGAACTATAAACAATTTGTATTACAGAGATAGCATTAACTTGAAGTTAGATGACCAAAAAACAAAAACAAAAACAAAACATAAAGCTATTGTTACATCTGAAAGATAATCTTGTGAACTCCAAGCAGCTAATCTCCTCTCCAAGTAAAACCCTTAAAGGGGAAAATTCAAGACCAGAACAAACACAAATGTTTCCACCAGAATTATACACCAAAACCCATCAACAGCATATCTTGAAAACCCCAAAGAGGAAATGGATTGGGAATTATGAACCAAATCTTCATTTCCTAGCTTTGAATTTGTATCAAAATCAAACCCATGTAATCCAACCTCTTGCTGACATGGTTTTACCCCAAAGGGTACATGACTTTTTGACCCCAACCCATTTGGGTAACAGAGAAATGGGTTGCTCCAAGCCCCAAAACGCCTACCCATTTTCCCATAAAACCCACCAGAGAATTTAAGTTCACCTGTCAGATTGTTGCCATTCAGGTAGAGTGCACCAACACTAGGCAGAGCTGCAAGCTTTGGTGAGACATTGCCTGTGAGCTTATTGTCATTGAGGTCCAAAAACCTGAGCCTCTTTAGCTCTGTGATGGACTCTGCAATCTCACCTGTCAAGCCCATATTGGAGAGATCTAAAACAACGAGGCCTTGCAAGCTGTGCCACTCTAGACTCATTAGGTCTCCACCTATTGGGTTGTTTGATAACACCAACTCTTCCAAGGAACACATCTCTTGGATTGACTTTGTCAATCCACCTGAAAACATGTTGTTACTCAAGTCCAGTAGTGTTAGATTCTTCAAATTGCCAATTTGTGTTGGGATTTTTCCTTCCAAGTGATTGTTGCTCAAATCAAGCTTCAAGAGTGAACTCAACCCTCCAAATGTCGCTGGTAAATTACCAGACAGTGAATTTCTGCTTGAGTCTAAGATCAAGAGCTCACTCAACCCACCAAAACTATCCGGGATTCGTCCTGTAAACCAATTTCCGGAGAGGACTAGCCGCTTCAAACTGACTAAATTGCCAATATTTTTTGGTAATTCACCCCCTAATCCATTCTCTATTAGCACCAAAGATTGCAGCTTTCTGAAGTGACCAAAAGTAGTAGGAATTTGGCCAATGAGACCCGAGTTTGATCGGAATTCCAGTGATTCTAAGCTCCCGGCAAACACCTCCCAGCTCTCAGTAGGGATCGCCATCGGATGGTGGTGTGGTGACATGAAGCAATTGAAGAATGAGAGTGTTTTCAGATGCTTGAGCTCAAACAAATGAGGTCTAAATTCCACATTTGAGGCACAATCAAGAGAGTTGTCATGAACGGGGCCAATGTTTAGCCCAGTGACATACCATAAGCCATCAAAGAGATCACAAGAGACACCCTGTAGAAGATATTGAAAAGCAAAATGCAATTCACTAAGACAAACATTCTCAATTTTGACAAATGAGCATAATGATTTGATGCAAAAAAAAAAAAAGTCTTATGAAGTCCAAAATCACAAAAAACAAAGAGTCTTGGCATATCATGACAGAGGTCAAGAATAATTTTTTTAATTTATTATTATTTAAATTTTTAAAAAAGGAACAAGTTTCTTGGTGTTCAATGTAAATGATTTATGTTATTTCTACTTCAGACAATAATAGTCACCAACTTTGATTATACAGTAGGATATATATGTATGTGTAAGTATATATATGTAAGTTTTAGGTAGATTCCAAGACAGTAAACAGTAATCTGAATGTCCAAATGTGTATATTAATGAAAATCTATCCACACATTTTCCCAAAGAAGATAATAAAATAAGCCTTATCCTATGTACAGCAAAAATACTGTATCATTGGGAAGTTTGAAGTACCTGTATAGGAGTCCAACCACAAGGATCTGGATAGAGATCTGAACCATTCCACCAATTACCAACAAACCCCTGAATAGTTGAGTACAGAGCATCTTTCTCTGTTTCCTCCATAGTTGCCACTACAAGGTCATCTTCTCCATCACACCAAACACCCAAAGAAAAGAAGATAATGATGATGATGAGAACAAAAACAGAATGACTTGTGTTTTTCAAGCTCATCATAGTGATTTAAGCCAAAAACAAACCAAACCCAAGAAGGGAAGTGATTAGAACAGAGTTAAAAACTGAACAAAATAGGGGAAAATCCAAAATGGTGAAGCTTGGCTAGTAGAAAAGTTAACTTCCTTTTGATTGATTCATATGGGTCTCAGATTTCTTAGAGAACACAGTCCCAAAAATGTAAAAGAGAGAGTGTGAGAAACAGAGGACTCGAGCTGATGATTATGAGTAAAGCCCAAATGAATCACTCATCTTCTCAAAAAACTAAGTTAGTATTTAGAAAGGAAAGTCCAACGGAATTGAATCAAACAGTGAAACTGAAAAAACACAGAAGAAAATAAGACACAGAACAGAGACCTAAAAATGTAAAAGACACTGTGAGAAGCAGAGGACACAAAACAACTAATATTTAGAGCTGATGATTATGAGTAAAATCCAAATGAATGAATCACTCATTTTCTCAAAAACCCATTTGGTATTTAGAGAGGAAAGTCCAAATGGAATTGAAACAAACAGGGGAATTGAGAGAGCACAGAAGAAAACTTCCAGAGAGTGAGCTGTTTCTAGCAATTGTTTTATAGCAATGCCAAGGAAGAAAGTGGGAGAGTAGCAGAGGTCACAAGATCTAAGAAGTCATTCAGCTAAAAGCTATAGCACAGTTCTCTATGCACAGCAAGAGTAATAATAGCAAGTGACAATTATATGAAAAGGAAAGCAATAATAGCATTTTCCAACTATATATGGTCCTGCATTGAGGGCTTGTGATTCTCTCCATCAGAGATTGATTCTCAATATTTATTAGTATAATTACATATGGCTATAGGGTTAGGGTCAGGGTTAGGGTTAGGGTTAGGGTTAGGGTTAGGGTTAGGGTTTATAAGGGTGTGGGGGACCAATTTCCATGCATAGTACATAGAGATGCATGTAAATGCATGCAAGACAAATATGAGTTTTTATCTCTGGGTGACTTGTTCTGGTTTGGGCTTGTTGGGTTTTTTGACAGCTCCTAAAGTAAAGATGAGAGAAAAGACAAGAGATTGACACTGGGACTCTGAGAGGGCTTTTAGAGAGTTGAGTACTTTGCTCGGCTTTAAATGGGGTTTGGGATGGACTATGAGTAATTCTCAATTGGGATTGAGAGATTTAGCCAAGAATATTATCCTAAGGTTCAATCTCAAGTCAAATCATCTCATTCATTTCCAACCCTGATTTATCTCAAAATAACTGGTGAGAAATGGACCAGCATGTCAACTTTGCTTGCTACATGTGTCGTGTGATGTTCGGACACTCCATTACTCAACTTTACTAAGTTATATATATTCCTAACCATAAGTCAATTTGGCAGAGCTAGGTCATAAATACAAGTTTTTTACGGTACAGTCGGTATTAGGCAGTATCCCTAATATTGTACGTGTAAACGCTTACACGTGTGTGAATTAGGATTCGCACAATAATATTATATTATATAAGACACACACGAGATGCGAGGAGACGACTGCACTCGTATTAGACGAATGCCAACATACACTCACACGTGTTCCATTTGCTAATATTGTTCGATAATGAATTCCGCACACCAGATACACATGAAATTGTAAGAAACAAAAGAGAGTATTGTGAGACTCTAAAGAGTAACGTTATATTTAGTAATGAACATTTAAAAGTTTAATTACATAAATTGGCCATAAATGTTTTTTTATTTATTTAATTCTACTCAGTCTTGCACTAATCTCCCAATAAATCACAGAAGGTTATGTCTTAATTAATTGGGTTTTTACAAGAACCCTCTTGTTGCTTGTTCAATTTGAGAGGCATGCAAGCCTCATTCCATGTTTTCTTATAAATTCCCAAATTTTTATACTTTGTAGTGTGTATAACACCCTTTGAAGTTAAGGTTTAACATGGACTATATGCCTGTGTGCCAATCTTATTTTCTCTTTGGGCTCAGAATAGTTGGTGTATTTGTAAATACTTGACATTGTTATTCTTTTGAAAAAAAAAAAAAAGCTCTTGGATAGTGACTTTTCCTTAAAAGGAAATGGAGTTAACTCAAAAATCAGGAAATTTTGTAAAAGGTCAGTATTGGAACCAACTTTTCATATATGTGTGTGTGTGTGTGTGTATTAGTGTGTATATATATTAGTGTGTATATGTGTGTGTATACATACAGAGAGAGAGAGAGAGAGAGCACTAAAGGAGACAATGGGTTAATGAATGCTGGGGACTTCTGCAGTTTGGACCACTGGCATCTCAATGGGGAAGGTGGAGGAGGCTGAGACAGGCTACGGATATATTTTTAGCCACACTATATTTCCTTTGCCAGGCCTCAAAGGCTGAAAAGTCACTATCTATCCTCCTTGTTCCAGTTTTGGCCTCATTTGATTATTAAAAGTCATTTATTACTTCCTTATCATTTAATGTTGCATATACCAAAAATAAATCAAATGTTCTCTGCTCACTCATTCCCAAATTGTTAGTTTTTAATATGATTTAAAAGAAAAATCAATAAAAGATTTTTGTTGAAACTCATTAATATACAGTACTATATAATATATATATATATATGTTCTGTAGTATGTTATATAGTATATATGTATGTATATTTGTCTAAGCAGTTTATGTGAGTGGTTGAGAGAGTGCACCACCTGACACTCTTATCACCTATGGAGCCCCTTCTACCACCATCCTTGCAATGTTTACTTACAGATGCTATTTGGGAATTGAGATTAATAAAGTTGTAAATGCAATATGCATGAAACAAAAAAAAATTCAATTAGATTAGTCATTTAAAAAATATATATTACAAATACAAAAACAAACTATACACATCATAAGTGCAATTGTTCAAACATTTTCATAAAGATTATTTATTTTATGCCTACTTTCTGCACAATAAAGTTACATGGAAACAAAATTCTAATACCATTTATGAAAATTATTCAAAAGTTCAGGTAAAGAAACACATTATATCAACACTCGAGTTTATACAAATTAATCTAGAATTTTGGGGTTTCGCCCCCACTAATCTCCAAGGACATAGGAAGGGCACCTCTCCACTCGGACTGGGTAAGTCACAGAGTATAGCCGCGGAAGCATAATCTCAAAGAATTGCTTGCACCCAGTGGGAGTAGAACCTCAAATCTAAATTCTGGGGTTTCGCCCCTACTAATCTCCAAGGACATAGGAATGACACCTCTCCACCCGGGTTGGGTAAATCGTATAGCGTAGCCGCGGAAGCGTAATTTTCCAAAAAATTGTTTGCACTCAGTAAAAGTCGAAACTCAAACCTAATGCACCAAGTGACCTTGCCACTGCCAACAACCCCTTGGGGTTATCTAGAATAGTTTTCATTGGTGCTATGAACCACATTCCGTGATTGGATCCAATAGATCACAATTCTCCGATTTTTATGGACCAACTCGACACGTGCTTGATTTCATATATGATTGGCTCAAAAGATTAATCTCAATCCAAACAATAAGTACAAAATTTCAGGAGAAAAAGTAACATTTCAAACTGAGTTGGACCAAATGACTGATTTCTCTAAAATGCTTTTGGAAGTGAGCATAATTTACAAGCCTCTCTAATACAACATTGTCCCAGAATTGATAGCCCTTGGAAATTAGAGGACCACCAACTCATTTATAAACACATGAAAACAGACCAACCTGTGACAATAGTAGGGCTTCACCCATTTGATTACTTAGAGCCTTATCACTACAATAATACACACCACCCATCATTACTCAAGTACATCAAATTCAGCCAATCTTGCTTCGTAGTTAGTCTGGATTGAGTGCAGGTATTATATTGGTCCCAAGGTGGTACAAAACTGTCAGAGCAAAAATTGGCCATTGCCATCTCATACACACCCTTTCAACTTCTTCTGAAGAGAGGAATCAACACTGACTTTTTGGTGCTGACAAGCATAGTGGAAGTCACTTTCTACAACCTGCAATCATACACCACTCTTCTGAAAATTTGGTAATATAACCTTCCGGGGAAAAAAAAATGGTAATATAAAAAAAGTGCTAACACATTGAATGAGGCTACCGTCAGTTGCGAGGTATGGGGAGCATTAGACGTATGCAGCCTTATCTCCACATGGAGAGGCTGTTTCCGGTTTCGAACTTGTGACCTCTCTAGGTCACAATGGAGCAACATTGTTGTTCCGCTAAGGCGCATCCTAAAAAATTAGGAATATATTAATAAGAAAATGTAATACCGATGTAATATCCTTTCATCTTGAATAAGAAATAAGTTCAAAATTGTCAAACAACTTAAACAGTGACAACAACCAAAGCCTTTTCTCGACTATTTGATGTTGGCTATATGAATCTTATGTTTTCATTCCGTAGAATCATCAAACAACTTCAGATGCATAAAAAGCAAGGGATGTTGTCTAAAGAGTTTCGGCAAAGAACAAGAATATAACTGAACACTACAAACCAACAATCTCACAACCCAAGTACTCAGTCATATCTACTCTCGTGATAGAATTGAACGCTACAACCAACGATCTCAATACTAAATAATCAACAACTGCCCCTCTCTCTCTCTCTCTCTCTCTCTCTCATTTTCAGAGTTCTTACTCCATGTGGTTGATTTCAACTTCCTTCAGCTTCATCTCATCCACCTTGCTTCTCATGAGCTCATCAAGAAGCTTCTGAATCTCAACCAATAATAGATTCATGTGATATTGTAGTAAGCAGACATTTAAAGCTAATATCAAAACTGAAGCCCAGTCAAGTCGTTAAATGCATTCCAGATCTCCTCCATTCGAGTCATTTAAACATTAGATTAGTTCAAAGGAGAGAGAGAGAGAGAACATACCAACTGAAAATCTATTTGTGTTTTCCGTGTATATAATACTCTATATTGTAATAATTAATTATTTCTGAAAAATGAAAAAATTGAAAATCATAACATAATTTATAGAAGTATTGAATTAATATACTATTATACAATAGTGTGAAATCATTTGCATTAAGAAGTTTTGATGACATTAACTAATGGCATACGCTTTGCACACTTTCAAACTTTTCAGCATCTGCATTAAATTGCATTATGATGCCTGCCTTGTCATTTTAGAAAGAAAAAAATAATAATAAAAGCAAAAAAAAAAAATTGATTTGGACATCCATGTAAACGAAAATGCTCTTTCTTTACCAAAGAAAGAGAAAAGGGGGAAAACGAAAAGAGAAACCATGAACATTCATAAAAATGCAGAGGAAACTTCAAAAGGATTTTCCTAAAATCCCAATTTATGACATAACATGAAATCTGAAAACTCTAAAAATAAATAAATGGATATGTGGGTTGAGTGTGCCGTGCAATAAAAATGGATTTTACCCTCACCACTCTCCCAAATAGGAAATGGAGAGGGAAAAAAACAAAAAAAAGACTCCACTACCACTCTTGTGGATAACTACTATTTTCATAATTGTTAACTAGATAAAATTTGAATCTATGCTGTCCTACTCTGTCAAAAAGATAAAAGCTTGTCTTTTGCTTCACATTCAAATCTTTTTGAGGACAAGTGAATAAATGAAACAAATTTTCTCCTTTAATAAGTTTAAGTATTCACTGAAGGTGTCAAAGGAAGAACAACCTATGCCGGCATGTTCACTCAATGTATATTTAAGCATCAACTAGGGATGGCAAATTCCCCATCCTTGGCAGGTCGGCGGGGATGGGATAGGGTACCTGCCCCGCCGTTTAGGGTGTACATTTACTAAAAGACCCTTATATATAATGATATATTACTAAATTATATTAAGTATATATAAACATACTTCTGAAAATAAGAAAAATTATTTGTTAAAAAAATTATAGTGTATATTAAGCAGGGAAGGAAATTGCAGGGCAGGGATGGGGAATGGAGGGCGGATGGGGATGGGGATGAAAAAAATTACCGGGGATGGGGAATGAGATCCCCGCCCCGCCCCATTGCCATCCCTAGCATCAACAATCATAACTACTCAAACTATTCAACTTTTATACAAAATTATAGAAAAACATAAAAAATCCGGTAACATTCATGTAATCCAGAACTAAAGAGAACTAGGCATAGCATTTGTGACTCTATGGATGGGCAGCTTGACACTTGCTAAAACCAAAAATTGGGATCAGTATCCTAAAAAGTCTGTCTATTCATTCATCTCTCTATATGCTCAACAAAGAATATGAAGCAGCACTGAGCGATGCTTGGCTTCAATTCTTCCAAACACAACAGTTTGACTAGCAAATCACCAAATTTTTAGAAGAGCACAACATAACCCAATGAAGTCCAAAAAATGGACAGCACCATGCTCCAAAGATTTCTGACCACATGATTATGTAACAGAAGATGACTAACAGTCTATTCACATGCAACACCAGTCAGAAAGCTTCTTCCTACTTTCCCCCAAATTCCTAGTCAAGATAGCCTTTGGAGCCGCAATTCAAACAACAACAGAGACCTCGAGGACACTATCAATTGCCAAATGCCTTCCAGAAGAAACCACTTTGCCAGCTTGCCTCTCTCACAAAGCAGCTTATAATATGAACTCACAACAACCATTATGTTCTACTGACCTGCTTTAAAAGGACACTTTTACCAGCTAAATTCCTTCAGAGGGCAATCCACTCTGCCTCCACCACAAAGCAGCTTATAATTTGATATCGCCACAAATTTCCCATTACACTCTACTGAGCAACATAGATAATGTTCTTGGTCACGACAACAATAGGAAGGTACAGAGTTCATGTATTTTAAAACTCCCAATCTTGCATTGATCTCGAAAATCTTGTTTCCCAAACCACCACCACCTTTATGTGAAGGTGATTCCAACAACCAGTGAGTCCATTCTTGATTTCTTTAGTTGCAATCCAAGAAAGATTTGGGAACAAGATTTGGGACTGAATGAAGTAAATTAGTACTTCTAGCTTTTGATTTTATAGCCCAAACGACAACTGATGTCATTACCAACTTAATTCATTCCACTCGAGATGATAACGAGGCCTTTACGTTGTACTAGTCTTGCCTACCGAGTGCCATTCAAGACGATGATTACAAAAATGTAAATCCTACCATTCACACTAATGCAATTTTATCATTATAAAAGCCTAAAGGAAGCCATTACCAAAATGTAAGTTCAACTCTGGGTGCCAGAGACGATGGAACATGTGTAGTGTCTACAAACCATTTCCCTTTATTTCCATGTAAGTATCAACATTTTCATGCTCACCATCCTTTTACCATTGCAACGTATAATGTTGTACTAAATTCATTCTATTTTTTTTAAAAAAAATATTTTTAACCATCTTTTATAAATATTTAATTTTTCCAACAACAATAGAATTGATTCATGCATTTAGGGAAAAATGAAAAACAGCACAAACAAATAAATAAACAAAAAAATTGGCTATACTAGTCTTCTAGTTCTCTCTCTACTCTTTGTGTGTGTGTGTAATCCTAAACCCTATGCAATATAAAATCCAATCGTAAAGATTAATGCTCACAGAGATCAAGGACTCCAGTGTTAATTCCCAATTTCCATACAAATCAGCAAAACAAGTAATAATTTCCAAATTTCTAGTTTCATTCTAAGAGAATTCAAGTAGTAAAAATCAAATCAAATAAAAATACTGTTATCAATAGAGAGACTATCAGAGTAATTTGAGTAAATAGAAATATATATATATATATATATATAGAGAGAGAGAGAGAGAGGGAGAGGGGCTAACCTTTGAATTTCTGTTTCTGTGTCTAACCCCAAGCATTAGAGCGAGAAGTCTTAACAGAGAGGAAAAGAACGAGCAAGAAACAGAGAACGAGAGAGGAAGAAAAGAGCTGGTGAGCTAAAAGACCAACAAGTCCAAAGTTAAGTGACGTGGCCTCATCTTATTGGATGATACAGTACCAGAAAAAATAAAGCAAAAAACTTTACGATTCACACAATCATACACACAGCCCATAGACTTTCCCGTTTCGGCTCGATAACCCGAAACTGAAACCCTAGACATTGTTCTTTTTCATAACTTCAAATGGATCCATAAATCCAAATCCCTCCCTCTCCTCTCTTCTACTTTCTCTCTCTACAAGAAAGTGTGTTGAATCCTTCCTCCTCCTCTATCTAAATTAGTCTCTCTCTATATAGTTTCTCTCTCTAGAAGTGGGAGATCGGCTGCCTCGATTATGGCGGCAGAGAGTTCCAGATCTAGTTCTTCGGCCGATTCTTACATCGGAAGCTTGATTAGCTTGACATCCAAGAGTGAAATCAGATACGAGGGTGTTTTGTACAGTATCAACACCGAGGAGTCCAGTATTGGATTGCGAAACGGTACGTTTTTAATTGGGGCTTTCGTTCGTTTTTATAGATTTCAGTGATTTTCTGACTTTTTGATTAATAATCTAATGCTTTTTTAGTTTGAAATTTCTTTGATTAGCTTGGTTTCTTTGTTAGATTTTGTGGTGCTTTACCTAGAAAAATTGTTTTTTTTTTTTCTCTCTTGCTGTTGTTATCATGAATTTGAGGGCTTTCTCGAAAAATAAATTATGTAATTTGTAGGTGTTGTTCTTTTGTATTAGTTTTGATGGCGTCAAGCTTTTAATAATCTTTGAATGTAAATTTCTATGCATGTATGACAGCTTTGTGAGTTAAAAAATTAAAATTGTGCTAGACGAGTTGGTCTTGTTCTGGTATATTGTTGTTGAGAGTAGCATATTCATTAACCCCCATTCCTTGCTTATTCACAATTGCCTGAAAAGCATTTCTCCTGTTAAGCTAAACAAATTGAAATTTTGGCTGTAGTTACCCATTGGTCCCATTCACAATTTCTGTGGACTATTCATGTTCTAGCAAAGGCGAGACATCTATTTCCACCAAAATTTCATCTTCAAAAATCTTAATTTCCGACCCGTTCTTAATTTGTATAAGCTTCAAGTATAATCAAATTCAGGTATACACGACCACCTTGATCTTTGGATTGACATATGCTCCCCAGCTTGCGTCGAGAAATTGTGTATTCCTTGACCAATGGTTTACTGAAGGCTTTTTCTAATTATAGGAAGGCCACCACAACGTGCACTGGTCGGTCTCGTCTACATAGAAACTCTCGTTCAATTTGAAGATATGATCCATATTTTGTTGTTCAAATGCTTTCACTTAACCCCAAAAAATGTTTGATCTTGGAAAGCTTTCATTTAACCCAAAGGGGCTTGTGTCTATCTACGGAAGCCAATTTTTGGTGTATGTATATTTTTCCTTACCAAATTTTTTTTAATACCGGATAGCCTTCATACTTTTATGTGTTTGTTAATGGATGTGCCTTACAGGCTCCATTTTTCAGGATGAACCTAAAGCATGTCATTTTAATCTTATTAGGAGTCAATTCTTTCTTTTTTTTTTTTGGATGAATAGTTGGAGTCACGTTTGCATTGGGCACGTGCTAATACTTATCGAACACTCCCGGATATGCATGCTGCACATCTTAGACATCTGTGTTTAATTAAAAAAAATTAAATTCTTAATTTTGGACACATGAGAGACACTTGAGACATTTGTTAATATATATGTAATGAATGTTGAAGGTTGGATAAGACTTCCTTTAAGAATAAAAAAAGGTTTACAGTAAGAGAAATCAAATTCAAGATTTATTAAATTTGCATGAAGTTTTACCATGGTGGTAATTTTCAAATATTTGATTTATAACAAATTTCGTATTACAGTTTCTATATGCAATGTCATTTTTGTATAAGATATATCTTATTGCCGTGTACTCACCATTTCATGACCCAGTTTTTAAAGATTTTCCGTGTCAATGCGGCATGTTTGCGGTCTTTTTTTTCCTGTCCATGTCTATGCTTCTTAGATTTCAATTATCAAAATTAATTGGATCTTAGAGGTTGGCGTGGAACTGGGTAGGGCCTCCCTTTTTGAAATATCCCGGACAATAAAGTTAGAGAATTAGTGTTAGATCAATCTTAAGAAATTTGAGCTTTTACTCTGGGATGAAGCCTTGACAGCAGCAAAATTTTCAAGCCATACTGCAATGAATTTTATAATTAAGTATTGAAAAATGTGATCCATATAAGTCAGGCTGCTATCTCTGGGAAAAAAAAATTGGTGCATTTTATATGGTAATAGTGCAGTTCACATAGCATTGGTGGGACTCCTTTTGTAGTTTGCTTAAAACACATTTGACATTCCCATGTTATATAAGTTGCATTCAAGTTCTCCTTTAAAGCAGTGAGATGTGATATTAATTGCTGATGCTGATCTATCTCATGACAGTAAGATCATTTGGAACGGAAGGACGTAAGAAGGATGGTCCACAAGTCCCTCCTAGTGACAAGGTTTTTGAATACATACTGTTCCGGGGAAGTGACATCAAGGTAATATAATGGGAACTCTAATCCTGATTAATTTGTCACATAGTTGTATTTTATCCTTTGCCAACTTTCTTCTGCTTAAAGAGAGGAAATATCCTTGTTGTACCTTGGTTTTAATTAATCTTCTCATGTTGGATTTGATATACAACAATATTTTTCAGTAAAAGAAAGAAAAAAGAAAGATATACAACAATATTACTTTGCTAATTTATGAAACTGTGACCATCATCTTGTATTTCAAGTAGAGAATCAACTGGTCTTTGAGCCTCTTATTTGGATATATGCTAAAACTGAGTTATCTGACAAATCAGGATTTTAGGCATTCTTCCTGAAATTGCTAATAGTCCAAATAAACCAAAGAGAGTGCTTTACTTCCTGGATCAAGTATGGGCGAGTGTGTACAACCTTGATCTTTGAATTACCATAGCATTTAATTCTTCAAGGCCTTATAGTTGGTGATCATTCTTAAACTTAATGCATAGATATGACAACTGCTGGTCTTTTGCCTTTGTTTTTGAATCATTGTGCCTCATAATTTGATTGGAAATTTTGTATGTTATTTTCATAGGAAATTTTATATATTTTATTTTCCTCTTTGACTTTAGCCAAAGCCTGAAACATTCTTCATGATTTTTACAGGATTTACAGGTTAAATCTTCTCCTTCTCCGCCTGCTCAGACTACAACTTCTATAAACAGTGATCCAGCTATTATTCAGGTGACTAAAAGGAAGAATGTCTCATATTATAAAACAAGTGAATTTGATACTAATATACTCCCAATTGTTTATGCAGTCTCACTATCCTCGCCCAGCTGCTACATCTTCAAGCTTGCCTTCTGCTGTTAGTGGGCCTGTGACAGATCTCAGTTCCCATACTGCACAGTTGGGACACCCTGGGCCTGTGTCAACTTTCCAAGGTGGTTTGCCTTTATATCAACCTGGAGGAAACTTGGGTTCTTGGGGTCCTTCTCCTCCTCCAAGTGCAAATGGTAGTGGGCTTGCTATGCCAATGTATTGGCAAGGATACTATGGTCCCCCAAATGGTCTTCCTCAATTGCATCAACAGTCTTTACTTAGACCACCGCCTGGGCTATCAATTCCTCCTTCCATGCAGCAGCCAATGCAGTATTCTGGTTTTCATCCATCTTTGCCTACTGGAGCCTCAAATTTGTCAGGTTCAAATTTACCCGAATATCCTTCTCCTTTAATATCCACCACTACCAATTCCCTTAATTTAACATCTACTCCTCTACCACCTTCAACTTTGTCAACAACTCTACCTCATGTGCCACCTGTTGTGTTTGCTCCTGAAGCATTACCCAATCCGCTGCCAAACAAGGCTCCTAATTCTGCTTTCCCTACAGCAACACCAAATGCTAGCTTGCCGTTGCCATCTCCTTTGACTACTTCTAGTCCAGATATAAGTGCTGTTGTCCCACCAATCACTAACAAGCCTAATGCAATTTCTGCTCCAACTTTCCCATATCAAACGCCATCCCCGCCCATGTCCTCTATTGTTGGGCCACCTAGTACAAGTCATTCAGAAACACTAACACCTTCCCTTGTAACCCCTGGTCAGTTGTTGCAGTCTGGAAAAGGTACAATTTCCCAGCCTTTACAAACCGCCCATAAAGACGTTGAGGTGGTTCAAGTATCATTAGCATCATCATCATCAGAACCATCGGTTTCAGTTTCTGTAGAAGCTCAGCCTCCAATATTGCCATTACCTCAACCTGCACGTGCTGGCCAAAGGGTTTGTTTTTTAAATTCCCCTTGTCATTATGCTGTTTAAGATTCTGGTCCTGGATGATAATAACTATATGAGATTCCCTTCAAAATCCATCTGTGTTTTTTTCTCATTGACCCCACCTGCTGCCCTTCCTACATTTTTGGCAATGAAGGTTCTTGTTGGAGTTGGATCATGCTCCTCATTTTTTGTTCATAATGATTTTACTTTGGAGCAACGGTACTACAATTGGAAACCAAAGTAACCTATAGACATATTCATGTGGGTCCAAATGACGTCTTCTTATCATTTTCTATTGGTTATTTGTGTTCATTTTGTTTAGTAGGTGAAGTGTTTCACTTTTAAAAGAATAAGAATTGTTCTTTTACTTATCAAAGAAAAACAATTCCACAACGTCTGTGCTACATGTGCGTGGATTTGCAGGCCTGTGTGTGAGACGTGGTCCATTTTCTGTGCAAGTCTTACTTTTTTCCCCTTAGGTTATTAGGAAGCTGTTTTTTTTTTTTTTGCTATCAAGTGTATCATTTGGCTTTTCTTTCAAGTTTTTTCACCCCTATCATTTCATGAAATCAGAATCTAAAATCTCTGTTGCCTTGGTATTTGGATAACATTGATTTCAGGCTCTGATAACAAGTATATGTTATATAAATTACTGACGTGCAGAACGAGCATGTCACTTTTACCCTTAGTTGATGGAAACTGACACTGATGAGGACTCTAACACATCGTTTTTTTTCCCTTTAGATGAATGGAGGGCCTTTTCAATCTCACGGTTCTCACCATGGCTACAGGGGGCGTGAAAGGGGGAGAGGAACTGGGGTAATTTTATTTTATTTTATTTTATTTTATTTTTTATTTTTTATTTTTCCTTGGCAAGAAACACACTCGCACTCCAACTTGCCCTTATGGGGACTCGAACCCTCGACCTTCTACTTTGGAACACAAGGAAGTACCACTAATGATGCAGCCTTTGGTTTTTATGTTATTAAATTAAACAAGTAGACATTCTGATACTTTTATTCAATTTCCTTTAAATTGACAATAGCTGTTGGGGAATACACATGTTTCATTTATTCTAATTTTCCTTGTCTCTGCTACATTTTCCTATACTGGGTGGTTAAATAATACTTTTTAAATAAGTGTTAGCCTTTAGTTACCCTGAAAGGCAGTGTGTTTTTAGTTGTAGCTTAAATACTTCCTGATGCGAGTTGTTGCCTGGGTGAAGAATTGTATTTTGTTCCGGGCAATTAGTTTGAGTTGATAAATAGGAACATTATATGGAAATGCTCAGCATTGAGGGAATTTTAATGAATATTGCACGTTCGGTTTTCAGAGTTCACGTCCAGTAACAAAATTCACCGAAGATTTTGATTTTATGGCAATGAATGAGAAATTCAAGAAGGATGAAGTATGGGGTCATCTTGGCAAGAGTAACAAATCTAATTCAAAGGACAAAGAAGTAAATGGAATAGGCAGTGATGAAGATGATTTTGAAGATGAAGATGATGCTGAATCATCGGAGTTTGGGGCCAAGGTGAGATTGCCATCCTGTGCTACAATTTCAAGCTAAAATGTGACCTCCATGATGTAAAATTTTTGAATTTACTGTGTCTGATGTCAACATTCTTGATTGTGCTTTGTGTTCCAACAGCAGCCTGTTTACAATAAGGATGATTTTTTCGATTCCCTCTCTTCCAATGCTCTTGACCGGGAATCAAATAGTGGAAGGACAAGGTTCTCTGAGCAAGTGAAGATAGACACAGAGGTGAGTATTATTCTGGTTATGTGCTATTTTGTATGTATCATCTTTTTTTGTATTCATCTCAACATGGTTACCCGTTCAATGGACGCAGACATTCGGAGAGTTTTCGAGGTATCGAGGCGGCCGAGGTGGACGCGGACCTGGTCGTGGTGGTCGCTTCCGTGGCTCTTATTATGGAAGAGGGTATGGTTACCCTGGGAGGGGTCGTGGGCGTGCACTGTCGGGGCGTGGTTTGTAGATCTGAGTGTTACGTTTTCCAAATGCTCAGGCAGAAACTGAAGCCCAACTGTCAACCAGGAAGAGAAAATTTAGGACTGTTCTGGTAATGTTTGTGCCTTGTACTTTTGGGGTCTTTTATAAATAAAATTAGGATACAGTCTGTCTAATTGTTTTCGGGTTGTTTCAGTCTCTTTTCCCAGTTTACTACAATTTCTGTATGGAGCTTGTAAGCAAGCAATTGGTTTCGATCGTGGTAATAGTAGTAGTATGCCAATGAGGCTTTATTTGATAAGAAATGTGACTGATAGTTTAAATTGTATTGTTTCTATCAGTTTAAATTTCATGAATGTGGAGGGGTAGAGATTGTATTCAGAACAAAAGGCATTGTGGAATCAATTATGTGCATCTTTAATTCAGAAAAGAGCCGTGTTATGGAATGGACGGCCGGTTTGTTGTGAGTGGGGGTCGTTGGTAGACATTTTGAGCTTTTGTGATGAGTCAACATGGGATCGGGTGGACAAGGCAGTTAAAGCCAGCCTTAAAAGCGGCTTCTTCCTTTTGACATCCGCGTGAGGAAAGCAAGCTCTAATCCCCTTCCTTACTGTACTTTTTGTAGCTAGCGTGAAACCACTTTATCCGCCCTCATTCTATTATACTTCTCTGGAGGGGCTACCATCCTTGATATAGGTTGTTCCCCTGTGCTTCTATAAGAAGTCCTTCCTATACCTGATGCGCTTTTTCTCTGTGGAGCTTTGATGGTTTTGGTGAACAATTTGGCCAAGTTAAAGATTCAATGGACACAGAGGATTGAAAATTTAATCCTATAACTTGTTAAGAACCCGAACCCATTAACAATCTGATAATTTGATAATCTTGGCAAATTATTGGGCCGAGCTGGATTTGATTAGCTATACAAATTAGATATGGATTTTGATCAGGTCTGATATAATATATTATATTTGATTAGCTATACAAAACAGATATCGAGGTCCGACCGATTTAATATATTATAGACATAATATATTTGCCCTAATGTAGAGGGTAAAAATGTAGATACTTTAATAATGATAGAGAAGGGATCAAGCATGTGTCTAACTTAGAGGAAGAGAAGGGCATGCGCATTAATAAAAATTCACCATACAATGAAATTTGTCCAATTATTTCATAAAATTTGCTCATCACAAGTTGATTTCTTAGATTTTGATTGGCCGGAAATACCAATTGACTGTATGAAAATAAGAGGTGTATGCTGGCCGACTCGAGAAGAGGAGGAGTTTTCTGGAGTGTAAATATTTAAGACGTATAGAAAGTTTTATATATATAGGATGAGGGTGTATTTGTCAATTTATATATATATATTTGGTTGTTTATGGGTGTAGTTGTCAATTTATTATACTCCCTCCGTTCTTATTTAGTTGTCCTCTTAGTAAATTGTGACTCACATAATTACGAGTCATAATTTCCGAGTAGGACAATTAAATAAGGACAGTACATATATTTGGTTAGAGTCTAACCGAATGAATGAAAGGTGATAAATAAGTTTAACCTTACGAGTAATTACTTATCAAAAAAAAGGTTTGACCTCACAAGTACAAGAATGTGAGATCAAGTGGAGTCCACCTACAAAGTAACCGGTATTGGATAATTGCGGTAAATTTATCAAGAACAATTTGCTTACAATCAACTGCTTACCATCATATATTTTATAAACAATCAATATCAATCCTTTGATGTAATCTCAAATCTGACAGAAAAAGAAGTATTATTATTGATAATTAATCAACTGTAATCCCAAATGTGGCAGAAAAAAGAAGTATGATTAACCAAACAGTTCCAATGTTTTGTTATAATCATTTATTAAGGATTACATTTTATAATTGTGAACCGACTTTCTAGTTGATTCTTGGATTAACAACACCACACCATTGTAATAACTACTTGCATGTAGCAACCAAGACCTTTCTGGGAGCAAGAGAAGGCCTCCTTCCATGAAGCACAGCCAAGTTATCCAAGAAGAGCACATCACCTTTCTCCCACTTAAACTGGATGCTCTCTTCTTCAATGATCTCTTCACATCTCTTCACTACCTTCTCTGGTATCTCACTTCCATCTGCCATGATTGCCGAGCTGATCTCCTTTCCGTGCATCCCCACCACAGTGTTGAACCACATCCTTCTCCCTTTCCTTCCTTCGAACACCTTTGTTAGAGACCTCGGCCCCAGGATCGCCTTAACCCCGCTGTTTGGTAGCCACTCCAACACCATCCCTAAAGCTTTTGCCCTGCAACAAAACACTAACTTTGTCAACTTCAAAGAAGTTGATTCAATTGAGTACCTCATTGGTAACGTCAACCAAACAATATTAACCTAACCGATAAGTTAGGCCTAAAACACTAGCTGAATGACTTTTATTTCTTAAATTTGTTTTTAAGTAGACAGGTCTCACTTGAAACATATCTAAAGTTAGATAGGCCTTCTGCTCGGACAGGTTAAGTACCTCGTAGGTAACATCAACCAAACAAAGCTATTCTAGCCGATAAGTTAGACTTAAAACACTAGCCGAATAACTTTTACTCAAGTCCCACTTCAAACATATCTGAAGTTAAATATGACTTCTGCTCGGATTTAAGGTCTAATTCATGGACTTAAATATCATTTTCCTTATATATATATACATATATATATATACCTTCTCTCAGCTTCTGCACGGTCTGAAGTTCCGAAAGTATCCTCCCAGCCTCTACCTCTCATGGAAGAGGTATCGTTCTTGCTTAGAGCAGTGAATGTGTATTTCAACCCTTTCTCTTCGATTTCCTCCACCACTTCCGGGAACTCTTCCAGCATCTGTTCCGTTACCCGGAAGCTTGGCACGAAAGGCGTCTGTCCACCTTCTGGCGGCGGTACCTCACAGAAAAGTATCACCTTTTTCGGATATTCCTTAATCTGGTGAGGCAGCAGACATAACAGTTAAAATGTTGGGACATGTTTAAAATTGATGAATTAGTCAACTCTTGATTACAATCTCAGTTTGTTGTTATGTTTTGATCTGTATTCATATCAGGTTTAGATAATAAGTGCAATCACTTTCTTATCATGTTTGTGCTTTAGTCAAATTGAGTTGTTAATATACATATATATGCTGATGTCAAGATGATTATATGTTTATGTATATATGCTGATGTCAAGAAGATTATTTGACAATTTTGATCAAGTGTGTGATTGAGTTGTAAAATATGATCAATACTGGTGGCATATCAATAGTGACCACTCAACACCTTCAATATCATTTGAGTTCATACAATGACTTCAAATTATGTGTGTGTATGTGTGTGGGGTACTTACTAGGACCATTTCATGGTGATAGTATATGAATTCAGAGAGGGGTCCTTCATTGGCTGTCCACACACGTTTGTAGACATGAGTCCTTGGTGCCGGCCCAACGTAGCGGATGTCATCCCAGTCGAAGGCCTCCACAATGTCGTTGAAGTCCTCAGCCTTGGTGACGTCGAAGCCCCTGAGGAGGACAGCACTGTTCTTGATCACCATTTGGTCAAACCACTCCTTGTTGTTCCTCAGAGCCAAGAGGAGAGACTCCAGGTCCTTCTTGCTAGGCTCTGGGGGTTGTAGCACTAGTGGCATGGTCTCACCGTGCACCACCTTCTCACCCTCACACTTTCCCACCTTGAAATCCTTGCAAGAGAATTCCATATCTCTCTGTGTTTGTGTGTGTGTATGTGTGTGTGTGATTGTGTGTTGGGTGTTGAATGCTTTTTTCTTGGCATTGGTAAGGTTTGTATATATATAGGAATAGGAGGTTGATGAATCGGTATTTACTATGGTATCATAAGTTGGCCTAACAATCGGCAAATTATAGATTCTTACTATGTCGTGTTGTTCAAGGTTTTGAATATGTTTTTTTGGCTCATTGTCTGTGTCTTAATTGGCTTGAGCGATTGGATATTTTTTTAGGTTCTCACATGGATTGTCTTAAAATTCAATGGACACATTTATTTAATTTGGGTTATGATGATACATTTTTCAATCTCCTAAAAAAATAAAAAAAATAAAAGGATACATTTTTAAAAAATGAGTGATTGGGCAGACCAAAATATCATTAATTTTTATTTATTTATTTTTTTAATTTTTTGGTAGTTAGTGCATAGTAATGGACATAGGATAACTTTTTCATTTGGAAATGTCTTTACCGGCCGCCATGCACATTGTGTAAAACTAATAACTATAATGGCTTAATTTTGGCATGATATTGAGTATGTATATACAAGCAAGTGAATCTTCCTTTTACACTAATTACAGCTTGGACTTGGGTCATGCACGAGATAACATATTAGGGTTAGGGCTTGCTTAGTTTGTAATTTTGAAAACAGCTAAAAGACATCCCGGTCGAAAAGTCAACACCAGTCAACGGCCGTTAACATAGGCCATATGAAAAACTGTTTTGTGGAAACGTAGCCGATGATGAGGAGAGTAAACTGGTTTAAAGGCGCGACTCTGGAATCCAACTTGAAGTGGCTCAAAACCCCCTCTGAAGCCTTAGATCTAAAATCTTTAAAAATTCATTAAATAATCATCGCTCCTCTAAAAAATTAAATCCTTGAATTATGTGATAAATAATGATGAGAGGAACACTTTCCGTCAAGGAACCGAGCCTGGAAAAAAATAAGGAAATGAAAGAAATAAGGAACCGAGCCTCGACCGATTGGCCGAAAAATAAAAGAGAATTTGAGGCATAAATGAAAAGAAAATAAGGAAAAGAGAGAGAGTTGCGATAAAGGAAGGAAAGAAATGAAAAGGAAAAATGGGTTTTGGCCCCTTTTAGCTGTAAAATGCCCCAGTGAGGTCCACGTGATCCCAAAATATCTCTTCCTCATATATATGTATATATACACACATATATACATGCCACAAACACACCTCTTGATACGTAGTCACCCAAATATGCACCAAATAAATAAATATGAAGTGAATTGACACCGAAAAACAATCCCGTGCACGAAAAATTCGGGTATGGGTCCCGCCTGAGACCTCCCAGCCCAGAAAAAACAAAAAATGTCAGAATGGTCAACAATGGATTTCTAATAGTTATGAACTTGAAAAAATACCCCAACTAACTCTCGATTGTAATATTTCTTATTTTTATTTTTCTACTGGGCCCACAAAGCACTAACTTATTACATTGTTTTATCATCTTTTGGCTGATCATTTTTCTCCCAAAAATCGTGATCAAGCTTTCTCTCACTACCAAAACTCTCTATCTCTCTATATCTATATCCTTAAGGCCTTGATTTCTCTATCATTTTTGAGAGATTTTTTGTGCCGTCTGCGGCGAAACAGAGAGTTCAGCGAGATCTTCAAGTTGATGTAAGCAATTTCATCTTTGGCCAACCATAGAATTTTTGAAAATTGGGCTTGGAATTGGGGTTTTTGCATTCTTTGAGGTAGGGGTACTCTAATTCATATTTTCTTTGATCTTTTGTGAGTTTCCCCTTTAATTTGATTCTAAGCATGTTTGATTTTAGCAATTTTGTCTATGTTGTCGTGGTGGTATGTAATAAAGGTGATGGATGTATTATATGTGTTAATTGAACCAATGATTATGATTATATACTTGGTGGTGAAGATACATGCTTAGTATTGACATTTTAGGTGCCTCATGATTTTTAATTGTTAAGAAAAGTGATGTTGAAATTATGAAAATAAATGTTAAGATTTTCTTTAATAATGTGATCATGATGTAGATGTAATGTATGTGATTTATTGTAAATTTTTCTTGAGAAATTGCCATGATGCTAGAGATATGATGTGTATCTCTATGTGTGTTATGTGTAAATAATATATGTGTGTTTGATTTATTGATTGGATATGGAAAACATGATTTTATGATTATGTCCTTATTTAATAGGTGTAATTGTAAAATTTTTGTTGACTTAAAGTATGCTATAAATTCATGAGAAAATTCTTCTTTAGTATGGAATGGTGTTAAGGTTTGATGATGTGAAAATTATGATAAATTGTGAAGTATGAAGCATTCATGCATCCATTGGGAAAGAAAAATGGAAAAAGTATTTTTTTTAAAACCAATGAAATTGTTTTGGGGAAAAGTTTTCTTTTTTAAAAGTGTTTGTGACGCCTAGTGGTCCGTGGTGTTAATGTGGTCTAGAGAGAGGACTACGGAGAGACCCTAATGTGGTTGAGCTAACCAAGCCGGATGCAACGCCTTGGAGGTGCATTGTGGTCGTGGATGGTTAGTCAATCCCCCTTTCGTGACGCCTTGGAAGTGCCTTGGGTCGGATTACACTAACGGTTTGAAAGTTGAAATAGTATGGTTTCGAAAACAGGGAGTGACATTACATGGCATGGCACATCATTGATATACGTGGTGCATTTGGTAATTGGTTGAGATATGTATGCTTGTTGATAATACAGTGGTTTTACTTGACTCCCGAGATATAATCCCATTCTCTTACTTTCTATTCTCTATATAGATTCACGGGGTCATAAGAGATGTATCTTAGACACTTCCTATTGAGTATTTAACTCACCCTATCATTTTAACATTTTTTTCAAGTCACGGGAAAGAAGTGGCGGACGACGTTCCTCTACAGGTTTTGATGGGTTATTGGACTGTTTGACATATTTTGTAACTATGATCTCATTTTATTATTATTATTATTATTATATTATTTATAAACCCTGAGATGACACGTATATTATGTATTGATATAGGAGAGGACGGTAATGTTTTTAGTTGACCTCGGGTTCGGGTAAAGACCCGGTTAGCGATTCGGACCCTCGGGTTCAAGTCATTACAAATTTGGTATCAGAACTTTAGGTTCAAAAACCTAAGAACGATAGGTAGGGTTAACCTGAGTGGGACTTAAGTTGATTTAGAAGTATTGCATGTTAAAATGTTTATTGTTTTGAGAAGCATGTTTACTTGTTACTTGCTTATGTGTTACGGTTTTGAAACATATGCTTTCTAATAAAGTGTTCACATGTTCTTGTATTTAAATGCTAAAATTTGTGTTACATGGCCATGCATGTAAAGTAGTTATATAACCCAACTATGTAAATGAAATGTGAACGTATTTGAAAGCATGTTATACATGATAAGGTGGAAAGTATGTGATACATGACGATAACAAGTAGTAGGCACAGTTGGTGCAATTTTCTTTTATGATAATGTGACAAGTAATGATCATGGTATAAGTAAGCATGTTTCATACGATATTGTAGGATTCATCCATTTTGTATATGTATATGTATCTATATTTTTATGTGTTTATGCGGTTAAGCAAGTGGATGGTTGCTAGTATGGTAGAGTACTTGTCATGGCATTGAGAGTTGTGTAAGTTTTAACCTGAGTAAGCGAGGAGCTCAGTTGCTCCAGGGTTGTTCGGTACTGGTTCTTATCGAACGACTTGTGTAGACTTCTAGCTCGTGGATTGAGCTATTCAGTGTGTAGTCATTCTGATTTTCTTGTTACATTTTGTGCGGTGCTTAGGGCATGACTTTAGAATGGGTTCATATTTCATGGCATGGTGTCTTTGTTGTATGTGAGTTTCATGCATCGGTGAATGGGTTCCTGTGACCGTGGAAGTCAGGTGTACGAGTGAGGGTTTCGAGGGAGAAATGTATGACCTTAGGAGGTTAGTGTTTGTGACTTGGGTCACGGTTTGGTGTGGAGGTTCTTTTCGAACTAGTTTGTGGTGGGTGTGACAGGAGTTGCTTAAGTCACGAGTGTAGTCTATGGGTTGTAGACGTGTATTTGGGGTATTCTGGTATAGTCCAAGGAAATGTATTGGTTCTTATTGTTAAGGGGACTTGTTGGGCTCTATAAGTCTAGGGTGGCGTAGGCATTGACTAGAGTCATGCCTATGCCGAGTAACTGATTGTTAGATGTGATTCATTACGTGATCTTGCAACAGTATGTTTTAGAGACTGGTTAGTTGAGGAGTGATCCCATTTCGAAGAGCTACAGGAGTGTGTTGCGGGTAATTAACTCCCGATAAGTTGATTACATAGCACGGTGGATGAGCGGGGTTATAGGTTATCACAATTGTCAAGAAAGTCTCGAGGTAAGGTATAGTGATTAGTTTTAGCTGTATAGTGCAGGATTGCACAATAAGGCAGGTAGTATGGGGTCATTGAAATGCTAGTTGTTTGAGGATCCGAAGAGATAGACTGATGATTAAAATGATTACAACGAGGGTGATCTCGTAGGTCTAGTTGGTAGCCCCATTTGACTTTTATCAGGGCCAGGGGTGTTTAGAGGAATGGTAAAAAGGGAAAGTGATGGTGTTGACGCTAGGGCGTAAGGTTTCTTTGGTTGAGTATGTAGATTGTTTTGGGAAGAATGGTCGGAGAAGCCGATTAAGTGTTAGTGACTGACTATGTTATAGATGGTTTAAGGAGATAGTTGGGTGTTAAGCATTCTGGTTTTTGTGTTCATTCCTTTTCTTTAGGATCTATCGGCATGGCATTGCCGTGTAAGGGTTCTATCCTAGTGGTATGTAGCGGTTACTGTGGGGAGTGTCGAGAGTGAGGTATACTCTCTTGTTATGATGGTATTGTCTTAAGGATGTTGGAAGAAGAATTGATTGGTAGTGGCTTAATGGTCTACTGGGATGATAGGTTTAAACTGTTGTTTAGAATGAGTGACAGTGAAGGTGTAATGGCGTGATGTTTTG